TGTCTTAGAAATTATATTTAATTATATTTTGTGTTAACTCTTTCCCTTAATGACAAGTATATTTTAAAAGGTTTCTCAGATTTTCATAATTCAGTAAAAAGGAGATAGAAAGCGGTAGAATAACGATGGCATTATATATATATATATATATGTTGGAACGAGTGAATTGTAGACATACCAAGATAGTTTTGTCCATGGCTAAAAACAAGCGCTTGAATGCATGAGAGTATGATTACTGTATAATACTACTATGGCCTAAAACAAGCGATAAAAAAATTGATTACGTCAAGAGTAACGATTACGAAACTTTTTAAAATGTTTCGCTCCTTGTGTATATTTCTCAATGTTTCCAGCCTCTTTTTTAAAAAAATCTAATTTAGCCTGATGCATGGTAATTTACTCAGTGATTAGGCGGTAGATCGGTCGCTAACCACAGCTCACTACGTGGTCTAGGGTTCGATTCCTGGCCAATAGACGCACATCTTCACCTCTTTTAACTGGTTGTTAGCTGCTCGACAAAGAGGAAAGATCGTGTGTGAGTGAGGCTAGCAACTTCACCTTGTAAATATGTATATATATCAAGTCTGATCCCAAGTAGAGTTGACTAGTGACAGCTATTTTGTACTAGTTTGTTGGGACTCTCCGACGGTGCACATCCATGACCCCGACCACCAACAGGAATCTAACCCAGTATCTTCTTCAGGACAGGAATTCAATGGACCAATATTATCGACAAGTATAGTCCTCATACCCCACTGCTCACGACTTCCCACTAGAACAATGTTGTTTGTTTTCTTCTATCGATGATTGTTATGTTTTGTTGGCTGACAAGAAGGCGTTATTCCCTTGAAATCATGATGTTGGGGATAACCTGTGGTTGACTCGTCGTGTTGTTAGAATAAAAGACTCTCTCTCTCTCTCACGCATACACATGCACACACACACACGCGGACAGACGCATACGCCACCCCTACCTACCTATCAGTCAGCTGAATATTAAAGTGAAACCTTATTTTTCTGGATCGTTTTCCCCTTCTTTTTGTCGACAAAATGTATGCACATATATGTATATATATATGAGATAGATAATCCTAAGTATGCATGAATTACAATGAGATCAATAACAAATATGAATGAAGATATATATACATAATTTACATTCCACCGAATACGTATATATATATATATATATATATATATATATATATAGAGAGAGAGAGAGAGAGAGAGAGAGAAAGATGGGTTTTTGTTGATATTTCCGTTGTTGTTGAGCTATTTATTTACTGTATTTTGATTCCCCTAATTTTGTTTTTGGTTCATATTTTGTAAAAGAATTTTATTTATCCCACCTTCACATTCTGTCTGAATAGTAATAATAATAATAATTAATGTTCTTTTGTGATCCACAACGGGAAACTCAGCGAGGCGTTTGGAGTAAACACAGGAGTCAGACAAGGGTGCCTGCCTATTATCACCAATGATATTCCTAATTGTGGTTGACTGACTGGATTATGCGTCAGACAGCGGGAAACGAGAAGACAGGGATATCCTGGACCGAAGTTAAGAACCTAGAAGACCTGGATTTCGCGTGTGGATGATTTATGTTTGATGTCACACACACGAAATCGAAGACTTACAAGCGAGCGAAAATCGACAAACTGGTCGAAGAAGCAGCCGGCGAAGACAAAACTCCAGATGAACATAGACAAGACGGATGTTATGAAAATAACCAACCAACAACAACAGCAACAACATTCAGCGTCAATCACCATCAACGGGAGGGATTTGAAAGAGGTCACTCCATTCACTTATCTAGCATTGAGCATTGTCTCAAATACAGGAGGAACAGACGAGGATGTCAAATCGAGCGAGAATCGGGAAGGCGAGCGAGAAACACATTCATCAACCTGAAACCAATCTGGAAATCTTCGTCACTCAGCCAGCGTCAACAAAATTTGGTCGGATTTTCAATACAAACGTCAAGTCAGTCAGTTCTTCTATACGGATGAGAAACTTGGCGGGCGGTTCACAAAGAATGTTTCCAACAGGTCACGATGCAGACCTTTGTTAACAACTGTCTTCGCTGGCTCTATACTGAAGATCAGATGGCCAGGGGGCCGGAAAGAATCACCAACAAGAAACTATGGGAACAAACAAAACAAGAACCAATTGCCCAAGAAATATGCAAGAGAAAGTGAAGAAGGATTGGACACTCGTTGAGGAGACCGCTGGGTGACATCGCGCGTCAAGCCCTCGAGTGGAACCCGAGAGGGAAGCGGCGAGTGGGACGTCAGTGCAAGGGTGACATGGAGGAGATAGTGTGAAGAGGAGTATGGACCAACAGTATGGACTAACATGGATGCAGGTGAAAAGTACAGCAGAAGGAAGACATAAGCAAGTGGAGACGTGTAGTTGAAGCCCTATGTTCCACTAGAAACCCAAGGGAACAATAAAAAAAATTTTTTAAATGTTCTTTTGTTTGATTTTTGGTGTTTTTTATTCACTCGTGAACATTTTATACGTCTGTATTCATACATACGTAGATGGGTAGATAGATAGATAGTTATACTCGATGTTGGTAATAATTAGATTGATGTTTCGTAATAGTAATAATAGAACTACCTACCTACTCCTCTTGTGTTTTGCATAGTTTTATGGCGTAGAAATTGACTGATTTATCATTGAGTAGGTTCATATACAACTACATATACAGTGTATTGACTGTGAATGTATTCGATTCACTGGATCTACGTATCTATCTATCTATCTATCCATCTATCTATTTATGTACATATATATCTCCGTATATTCAAACCTCTTTTAGACACAAGCAAACAGGATGAGATTACATAATATAACCTGTGTTAAAATGTATTATTATTATTATTATCATTATTTGCCTCGTAAAATCAACACTCTTAACATGGTCACATTATGTACAGGCTTGTATACATATATATATACGTATGTCTTCATTTCCTGTATATTTTTCTTTTTTTTTACTGTTATACTACTACTAATACTACTTATAATAGGGAACAACAATGCAGTGATGAAGGCCTCATTTGATGACTTGTTTAAACAATCTCTGTTGTTTTGCCTCTTCGCTTATCGTATTTCGTTGTATCATTCTGTTAGGTTCTTTTTTATTATTTTGTGATGTATTTATATGTATGGATCACTTCCTAGTTTGATTCTTTCTTTCTATCTTCCTTTCTGCTCTGTCGTGTAATCTAGCACATATATACAGGAAGTTCATAGTCTATTCTTTATTATTATTATTCAGAAATGATTTATCACGTTTGTAGATGGGTGACGGCAATTTTAACACTTCAACTAACTCTATGGTGTGTGATATACAACTGCACACACCCGGAGAGAGAGAGAGAGGATGATAAGTTCGAAAGTGGTGTTTCCACCCCACCCCCCGCCCCACCTACTAAGGTTTGCGTAGAGACGGGTATCATAGTATCAGTGTTACTTTAGGCCGTGGTCCCGAGTGGAACTTGAAGAGAAAACTATGAGTTGAGCTTGTTTGTATGAGGGTGATATGGAGGAGATGGGTACTTATGGGTAGTTGTGGAGCTAGATATTATAAAAGACTGCAGAGAACGCGGATGAAATGGAGATGTACTGCCGAAGTCTTATGTTCCACAAGGAATCCACTGAAATAGTAGTAATAATAATACACTGATGCCCTCCATAATATTTTAAGTATATTTTTCACTTATAATAAGTGTACCTTCTAAAAAAGCCCTTTGTTTCGGGACTCTTCAGCAGGACGCATCTACTAAAGTTCGAACCCAGGACCTTCTGATTACAGGGCGAGTTCATAGACCACTAAGCCACTGGGACCCGACCCGATCCAATCTCCAGTTGATGAATTCCAACTTCTGCCAATTCACGACATGGCGCTATCACTAGCCAATATCATCGGCTAGTGTTTGTCCTCACAACTGACCTGCTGTACCCCACTGGTACCTAGAAGCCTGATAAGTGCACCTACCAAAATAGAGCCAGTCACTAGTGAGCATCAGATCGATATTCACTATTCGTCCCAAATTAGGACGAAACAACTGTCCAGTACTCCCTAGTTGGTTTTCCAATGGGCCTCTAACCGATTTCAGTTTATGGGAAAATCCTGAAATCAACCGAATCCCTGCAAACCAATACTTAAGAGTCCCTTTATTCTTAACCTTAGCGAATTTATTTCTATTTGTGTAAACGTGTCTACTTTGTCATATCGGTGGTCTTTGATCACATGTTAATTATACTGAAATTTCAAGCTTTGATCACGAACTAACTTCATTTAGAGAGAACCATTTAAAGCCAATAGGGAGTACTAGACACAGCTGTCTCGCCCTAGTTTAGAACTCTTCAGCAGTGAATACCCATGACACAGCACCCATGGCTATGAATCGAACCCAGTACCTCCAGGTTACAAGGTGAGCTTGTTGGCCGTTCAGTCACAGTGGGTGGAATACACTAGCCCATGAATTCTAGCTTCTGCCAATTCGGAATATATTCAGCACCACTCCCAGCCAAGGTCATCGGCGAGTATCTCTTTTCACACTTCTACTGCTTTTAATGATTCTCCTACCGAAATCTGTTCGTGAACAAAACTTGAAATCAGTTGAATTCCTGCAAGTCAACACTTGATGAGTCTGTCGTCATTAGTTTTCACCTCATTAAGTGATGGTCATATGTTCTCAAATGCTCTTGCCATCAAGTAAGCCATTGTTTTCAACAAGAAGGTAAAATTCTGCCTTTATAGTAAACTGTAATTCCATAAATAGTGCTTGCGACGTCATACAATTAATACTCTATCACTCACCCTACCTAATATAAATCTTTCTCACTGTTCATGTCAAACAGAAGAGCACATGAATACCTACAAATAACTTTGCCACTATTGTTTTTATTTCTAATCGATTTTTGTTTTCGAGATCATTTCATCTATGTTCTATTGTTTCTCTTTATCTTCTCATTATTATTCATAGGTGATCTTTGGCTTCAAAAACCACTGGATTATGAACAAACACCGGCGTACTTTTTAACAATTGAAGCACGTGATCGTGGTCAACCCCCACTGAGTAGTACAGCTGTGTTAACTGTTCATGTAGACGATGAGAATGATAATCGACCACAGTTTATGGGAAGACAACGTATTCCGGAGAGTATTGAATTGAATCGGCTAGATGGATTGTCTAAAACAGCTGACTCAGATTTCTATCAGTATTATTATGCCTTCAGTGTGGTTGAGAATAGTCGAAATGGTACAGTTGTCGGCAAAGTAAGTGTCTAGAAAATGTTTCGGTCTTTTTTTCTGTTTCTTTTGTTTTACAAGCACCAACTGTCGTTGAAGAAGTGAATTCATGAATTGAATTCAAGGCAGGTTAAGATTTAGGGAACATTAATTTTCTTAATATCCAATTTAAGCTGTGCATTGGATTTCATCATGTGCTGACATTGGTTAAAGAACCATTGGAAAACTTGACCAGTAGGGTGCAGAAGGACGGTTGTGAGGACAAATACTCGCCACAGATGACCATTGGCCAGAGGTCACACTATGTCGTGAATTGGGAGAAGTTAGAATTCATGGGCTGGTCATTGGATCGGGTCCCAGTGGTTTAATGGTCTACGAGCTAGCTCGCCTTGTAACCAGAAGGTCCTGGGTTCGAAACCTGTCGGTGGATGCGTACTGATGAAGAGTCCCAAACAAGGACGAAACAGCTGACCAGCACTCCTTTGATTGGTTTTCCGATGGTCCTCTAACCGATGTCAGTTCATAATGTAATCCTGTAACCAATCGAATCCCTACAAACCAACACTTAAATAAAGTTGTGTATCTGAGCAGTTTGTAGAAAGTCATCGGTCCCACTTATCTACAGTAGTCACGAATGAAGATTTCAAAGGCACAGGGTTAGAAAGGCATGACAGGCCTTCATTCCTCTGAAATCAGTCTATAAATCTACTGAACACAGCATAAAGAACAAGATTCGGATTTGTAACACATTAATGTGAGGTCAGTCGGCGCTTTTATATGGTCCAGAGATTCGGCGTGTCAGCAGAAGCATTTCGGACAGGCTACTGTAGACTTTCACCGGCAGCTGCCCCCTTCTCTGACTCCACATACTGAAGAGTAAGTGACCTGCCAGGAAGGATAAGCAACCAAGATCCAACTAAAGATGATTGCAGAAAACAAGATGACATGGAGATGTGCAATAACATTAATAACAATAATAAGCTTGGCAGTTGAGTTTATTCTTTATCTTTGAACCAATTATAATAAATTACAACTATTTTAACCAAACTTTTAACTCAATATTGATTAATCTAATCTCTGTTCATTATCGATTTTAATTCTAGTTGAATGCTATCGATCCAGACAGTGGAGATAATGGTCGTGTAAGTTTCCACATGGGTGAAAACATTGATTTCTCTGCCTTATTTAAAGCCTATCATGAAGATTCAGCGTATACAGAATATTTAAGCCTATCTGAGGCTAAAACACGGTTTCATCTCGACAGCGATTCTGGTCGTTTAATGTTGACTTTCCAACCGGATCGTGAAGTGATTAATAGTTATTGGTTAGTTGTACAAGTTGTCGATCATGGTAAACCAAGCCGCCTATCGAGTTTAACACTAGTACATGTACAAATATTGGATATTAATGATTGTTCGCCTACATTTGAAAAATCAAGTTATGAATTTTATGTTGAGGTAGGTGAAAAGGTTTCTGTTTCTTTTTGTTTCAGTTGTTGTTGTTGTTGTTGTCGAATTGATGATAAAAGCTTCCCCTTTTTCATCTCTCTCTTTCTCTCTCTCTCGCTAGCCTTTGTTTCTTTTTTTCATTGTTGTTATGCGTTTGTTTATGCGTGATAACGAGCTTAAAGAGATGGAAGAATGATTTCTGTAGTTTATTATTATTATTATTGTTATTATTATTGCTTTGTCACTCTTACCCTTTACTTATGATGATAATGATGATGATGATGATGATTGTGTAATCAACATCAGTTAGCTTCTTGTTCCCTTCTTCGTTCATCTCTGTGTGTACACATACACATACACGCACACATATACACGCACATTTTCTCTCCCATCTGTTATGATCTTTAATTGATGATGCGCATAATGAGACAAATGCACGAGAATTATAATCCACCGGTTGACTTGTTTCTTTCTTTATTTTTTATGTGGTGTTATTATCGATCGGTCGGTTGGTTGTAGTCGCAGTCTTGTAGTGGTGAAGATTGTCGAAGAAGAGGAAAGAAAAATAAAAGGGAAGACTGTGTTAAAGAACGCTCAACAACAACAACAACAACGATGAAAAAGATGACGAAGTCCTCATCACTTAGTAGGATGTGTGTCCGTTTGTTGGTTTTTTTTCCCCAAAGATTCTTCTACTGACCTACTTACTGGACGATAAAGTGTGTAGTTTTCTTTCTTAGACAAACCCCCCTGAAGTTTTATGTTCACCTGTTTCTAAAGCAAGACTAGTTGTGTTGTTTTACTGTGTGCTGCGTCATTTCAAATCAAGGTGTTGAAAGTTTATTTAATCAAAAACAATATTTATTATTATTATTATCATGATTATATCCTTTAATTCCTAAAAAAACATAAGGCTTCAGCTGAACGTCTCCATTGCCTCCGGTTCCCTGCCAACGTTTTCACCTTGCTCCAGGTCTGCCCATATGCTTTCATCTCTCCTTCATATGACCTCCTCCATGTCACCCTTGCACTGACGACCAACTCTCCGCTTCCCTTCTAGGTTCCACTCGAGCAATGACTTATCTAGTGATGTCACTTGATGGTTTGTTTCCTCAGAGTATGGCCAGCCAATCCACCTCCATTTCTTTCTGCCTATTTGTTGCACAATCGGTTCCTGCTGGGTTGGTTCGCTCCCAGAGATCCCTCCCTGTTGCTGATCTTTTCTGGCCAGCCATCTGATCTTGAGTAGTATTGAGCGAAGACAGCTGTTGATGACAGTCTGTAGTTTGTTTGAGGTGCTGTTTATGACGCACCATGTCTTTGATCCATCCGTATAATAGCACTGACTGACTTCACATTGGAGTTGAAAATCCGTATCTTATTTTCATTTTCATGCTGAGGAGTGCTGTTGACCTCCACACAGACTTGAGAGTAATGAAAGCTTGTCTTGCTTTTCCGATTCTGGCTTTGATATCCGCGTCAGTTCAGCCCGCCTATAGTTGAAACGATGCTTCCCAGCCAGGTAGGTAAAGGAGGTTGTTTCTTTCAGGTTCCTCCCATTTATGCTGGCTGATTGTTGTCTGTTGTTGTTGTTACTGTTGGTGTTGGCCAGGAATCTTCATCACTTCTGTTTTATCTATGTTCACCTGTAGTCCTATCTTTGATGCTTCTTCTGCCAATATTTATTTTGTGTTTACGACATGTGCAGCGCCTTGAGATCTATGTAGGTAGACGTGTGTGATCGATCACATGTACAGATTTACATGTGATTCATTGTCTTAGGCACTTGACTTTCCATCGTCAATGGTGGCCCCGGCTACGAGTCTTGCTCAACACATACCGATTTCAGTCTGGGCAACTACTGGTTCATAGCCAAGGTACTGGATGATAAGTGAATTGTGACTAACATACGTAGAGGAGAGACCATTGAGTGATATCATGTGCAGGATGGTCCCCTGGCCTTGAATGGAACCCGAATGAGAAATGAAGAATAATCGGACATGTCGGGCCGAGAAAGGTCACATGAGAGAAATCGTGCAATGTGGTGAAAGCTTGTGAAAGCTTATGAACAATCCTGGAGCCAGCTAAAAAGGACCACAGAGAAAGAGCCGTGAGAAATAGCCAGTGAAAGTGGAAGACCTGAAGAGACTAACTGTCTTTGACTTAGGATGTTCGCTTTCTGTCTCTCGTGTTAAGCGGTATAATGCGGTGAATAATATTGAGATTAGGCATAGAGTGTTAGGTCAGGAGGATAAGTCAATTGACGATGTTGTGAAGCTACATCGACTGAGACATCTGTCAAGCATGCCTAGTCATCGCCTTCCTCGATAGGCAGTGTTAGCTGACATACGATCAGATTGGAAATTTTGTGCGCCATTTGAAATAGAAACGTATTGTTTACGCGTGAAGTACATAATTAAGGAATGTGATGTTCATCACTCATATATGTTTGTGTGTATTACGGTCATTATTATTCGTTCTCTATGGGTTCCTAGTGGGGCCTACGGCTTTGCCAGCACCTATGCATTGTATTCCCTTCTCTGCTGTCCATTTCTTTTTTAAGCTGGTTCTACTACCATTGTCTTATTTTACGTTTAGGATAACCGCTTATCAACAATTTCTTTTTTGAGCGTTTATTTCCCTAGATGTATCCATTATACACAGTCTAATGTTGACAAAATCCCACTATTATGATTTTCATTCCATTTTATTGGGTGGGTTCTGTTTGTTTTTCTTTGTTTTTATCGTGAATTTCTTTATTGCTTTCTTCGATGTGTATATTTTTGTTTATTATTATCATTAATATTTTTATCATTTCCCTGATTTAAATATTCAGGTTGATCGATCGGGGAATATTAGTACGTGCTCGGAAAAACAAGTGAGTCATTCAATGATGTTTTCCCTTTTCTTATTTTGCATGCAATTGATGACTGTTCAGTGATTTTGTGTGTGCGTATGTGTGTGTGCGCGTGTGTGTGACTGAGTTCCCATTCTGACATACACATTCATGATCTGCATATAAACAATTCGTTACGTAAGAATAGAACTTGGGCACTGTGAGCGCTGAGTATAATTCCACCATGGAATAAAGTTCATACTACTAGTTCCCTTTTTAATAGTTTGAATAAAGAGAGAACGAAAACATATTTGTACACAGGATAATACTGAGCTGGTTTTATTTCGTGACTACTCTTCAACTACGTACATCCTAAATAATAATAATATCAGAACATAACTCCATTATGGATAAGATTTTATTCTGATAAATCACACAACGTTGTTCGATAAATATTAACTGATGACGTTTCGAGCACAAACTATTGCTCATAATCATATCAAGTTACCCACACAACTTTGTTCTTTCATTTATATACATGTGTGAAATCGATTAGATATTGTAATAAAAATCAATATGAGATAATGTACATTCAGAAATAATAGACAAAATAATATACTTTACAAAATATCCTGCAATGACTGTGAGGTCGACTACATAAGTCAAACTAGTAGGTCGGACGTAGTCAGATTGTTGGAACATAAGAATTTAGCTAACGGAAGAATGGTTGACCCTGAAAAGTTAAGCAATTTAGAAAAAAGCTCAGCTATTGCACTTCACACAATAACAAACAACCACACAATAGGGTGAGAGAGGGGTTAAGATTATAAAAAGTAATCTAGGTAGGTGGAGAGACAAGTTGATTACGGAATCCTTGTTCATCGAGTCTACACCCAACACATGCAACAGAAATGACTCAATGCAAATACGAGAAATGTGGAAGATATTATTACCGCCAGTCTGTCAAATCAGAAGAGAATAATAAATGATCATAAAATTCTATTTCAATTCAAACACATCACAATATTCTAACAAGTAACTTATTATGACTATAAAAAACACTCGTCGTATTTCCCATCCGATTGTAATTGATTAATAACACTCGTATTATTATTATTTCTGAATGTTCATTATCCCATATTGATTTTTATTCCAATGTCTAATCGATTGCACACGTGTATATAAATGGAAGAAAAACAATTGTGTGAGTGACTTGATATGATTATGAGCAGCAATAATTTGTGCTCGAAATGTGGTGGCATTAGTAAATATTACTGTGTAACACTTTATCAAAATAAAATCTTATCCATAATGGAGTTATACTGTACTACAGTGCCTAAGTTTTATACTTATATCAACAGAATATAACTTACAAAATTTCTGAACATACTTCTTTTTACACTAACTTCTAGTTGTAGATAGAAAGTATTGGGAACATAATTCCAAATAGTGATGTAAGTAGACGAATTATTCAGTGTTAAGATGAGTTACTAGTTATATAATGATTAGACAAGGGAGTAGAGTTCAGATTTCTCTAGGAAACAAGGATGGACTAAAGACAAATTACAAGATAGAACAACAGAGTGAATTTTTACATATTATGCTGGAGAATTCAGGAGGGTGAGTAGTGAAGTAAAACACACACACACCTAATTGACTGACACAGGGGCTTTTTAAAATAATCAATATACAAAGAAGCTTTTGCTATCAAAACACCTTCAACCCAACGTCATTTGGACGAAGAGAAACTATTATACGGTAAGTTCCTCTGAAAATTCTTTACATTATTATGAACACTGTTCAAAATATAGGCTGTTGTATACAATTGGTGGATGGTGGCTAGCAATGGAATCCAGGATACGCATTTCGTCCTATTTGGGACTCGTCAGCTGGATGTACCTGCATTTCTCAGTGAGTGATGATGTTCCCACCGAGGCTCGAACCCAGCAGCCATAGTTTCAAACGCCAAAGCGTTATCCACTAGACCACTTGGGCCATGAGAGCCACCTCTTGTGCAACGGGTCATATTAATTATTGAATTGAATTTTTGATTTCAGTTAAATAATAGGCTGTTGTAGTTATTATTGGTTATTCCTAAAAAAATATTGTTTAGCTTGTGATTAAATAGATTGAACTACCTGTAATTAATGCGGAGGTGGATGGGAGGGGGTGGCGATATGTTTCTTGAGTATTGAGCGAAGACAGCTATTGATGAAAGTCTGTAGTTTGTTTGAGGTACTCTTTCTGACGCGATAAGTCTCTGATCCATTCGTATAGTAGCACTGACTCACTTCACATTGGAGTTAAAAAAAGACGACCTTGACGCGCTTTTCGACTGTCACGCTACATTTACACACGGAATACCAGATTAAATTTGATTTTTATTCATACACATTTTGTCACACACACACACACACACAGACCATTAACCATTTCACATGAAAATGATATGTATCGTTTGGATATGTTGTATATCACACTAATGATGGTGTTGATACCGATAACTACTTACTGTGGTATACCCCATATATATCTGGAGTAGATATTCACTTCTCTCTCCTAATTCACGCATAAATCAAATCAAGATAGAGATGAAGAAGTTGATTTTGAAGGATGGCACTTCATTTTTACAACACTTCGAACAGAAATATAGGTGTGGGAGGGGCTGGGGTGAATCTTTTCCGTTAAACATTATTTCTGAATGAAAAATATTCAACAACAGGTTATCGTTCATTTATATTATTTATCATTAAGTTAGGCGGCTTACAATACAATACACTACAATACAAATTCTTAAATGACTTCTCTAATTTTTTCCACACTCTGTGTTATTACCTTAGTAAATGTCATATTTTCTGTGTTTTCTGTGAAGATGACATTTCACTTTTGAACATTTTTGTGTGTGTCAGTGTGCGTGTGTGTGTGTGCGCATGCGTTGTATATTTGATTCTTTTCCATGTATCTGGAGTCGAAATGTTTCCGCCGCATTCTCGTCTCCTTCTACTTAATCATCACAATGATAAATGCAAATATATATATATATATATATATATATATATATATATATATATATATATATATATATATATATATATATATATAAAGGTATTAAGGGTAGTTCGACTTTATTTCACCCCAACTTTATATTTTGTTCACATCATTATTACCGCCTTTTTGTCGAATTTAAATCTACCTTTTTTGGCGGGAAAATTTAAATGAAGACATTTTTTCTGTGTGTATGTTGGAAGGTTAGAATTCACATGAAAAAAAAAAGAAAAGAGAATAAACCACTGACTCATTGATGAAAACAAAGCTATTAAATTTGACAAAATCATGATGCTGTGATTTTTATATCATTACCTCTACGCTTTTCTATTCGAAGTATCACTTCTAAAAAAATTCGCTTACAAGCATGTTCTAAGTGTTTTTCTTTTGGTGTTGTGCTGATCACAGTCAGGCGAAAACATTACAGATTAAAAAGAATGTAAGACGACTTCACCGTGGTGAAACATTCATTTTTGATTCTGTGAATTGATTTTTTTTCTTTTGCGACAAAGATCATTTCATTGACTTTGAAAAGGCTGGCGACACTGTCAACTAGTAAGAGTAATTTAGGAACTGTGTGAACACTGCAAAGAGTTAAGTACTGCCTCAGACCTTTTGTCAACTTCTTTATTCAACAGTGTTACAACAATATGACAATACCATATGTCAAGTGATCCACAACTGAAAACTCAGTGATGCTTTTGAAGTGAAAATGGCAGTAAGACATCGCTATCTACTGTTACCGATGATGATGTTTCTGATTCTGGTGGACTATATCACATGCGGAAGACTGTATGGGGGGATCAAGAAGACAGGAAATAGCTTGGATAGACAAGACGACTCTAGAAGATTTATTTCTAGTGTTCTGGACCAATATAGCGAAACGGGTATTCTTCAATGAATGCTCTGAAACTAGTGTGGAAGAGACTGCTGTACTTAGTTCAAAAGAAGGGAATAAGAATCGGATTTTCAACACCATTGTCAAATCAGTCCGTGATTTTATATGGTTCACAGACAGGCTTCAAACTTTCATCGGTACCTATCATGTTCCCTCCATACTGAAGATCGGATTTCCAGAAGGGATTCAAAACAAGGATCTATCAGGTAGTCAGCGAACTAACGAACGAAAAACCTCTCGTCTAAGAAATATGCTGTAGAGAATTGAGATGGATATGGAACACATGCTGAAGAGAGACCCGTTGAATGACACCATACTCAGATTCATGCCTTCAGTAGAATCTGAATAGAAAACGATGAGTTAGGAATGCATCTGACAGTGAGGTGGATGACATTGTGTGAAGTGGGGGAAATCAAGGTTTTGGGCAATCTTGGAACCAGGTAAAAAAGAGTGCAAAAAATAGGATAAAATGGAGATGATAATAATTTGCTTTATTCAGAAAACAGTACTTGTGATACAGAATGGAATTCTCAGCATTTTTACTACAGTAATGCATCCAGTTAGTACATCAACAGTAAATAAAATTCTACATAGATTATGGGTAATCTCAGTTAATTTTGACAACAACATATTAGCAGGTCGGTGGCAAAGCCAAAAGTGAAGTGAATGTTTGAAGGTGTTAGAAAAGTAGATACTACTAGCATATTTACTGGCGTAAGCGGTAACAAAAACGATCGTGTGATATACAGAGTGTGAAAGAACGAAGGTGAATTTTATAAATAAAGTTTGTAAGGAAGAGAGGAACAAAGCAGCATATAAAAAAAAGGGAAAAGGAAAAGAGAAAAAGAAAACGTTGTACCGTTAAACGATATGAGTTGGAAAGACGAGATCCAGTTGTTCTACTCACTATTTATTAAGTTATAAGTTTCACGCCTAATGCTTTCTTTACCGCACAGAACGCGAGCTAAGTAGGGTGTGGTTGAGTTGGGTTTTTGTACTTGCTAGTGCGAGCATATAGTTTTCTATATAGGCTTATGGTCCTGGCTGATGAGATACAAGGGGGGGGAGTTGTGGATGAAGAGGGTGGTGTGAGTTAGATAGAATGCATTGATTTAGCCCATTTTTCACATGAGTCCATGTGTCTGTCGACCAGAATATTAAGTAAGCTGATTAAGTGGCACGTTGCTTACCCTGCTGTTCTTTTGAAGCCCTATGCTCCACTTAAAACCCAGGGGAATAATAACAATAAGAAGAACGACAAAAAATGAAAGACATTACCTAACACTGTCAGCTATCACTGAAGATTCAAAAAGTCGAACACTTTCACATTTAGTTTCATAGACCCTTATTGGTGGTCAGTTTGTTACTTCATTTTGATATCGTTTCATCACCAGTGCATACCTCCATTAGGCTACTTGTTGTTGATCTCTAAGTGACAGATTGACTGGTTTAGTTTCAGCGTAGAACTTTGCACAGAAGGGCAGCAGTTCAACTTACCACACGCCTTTCATGTAGCACACAAAGGCAGAGAAAAGAGGGAGAAGAAGAAGAAACTCTGAAGTACTATAATGACCAGAGTAGTTTAATGGGAAAACATGAGTGTTTTATTGGATATTGTACTGGTGTGTATTTCAGTGGTGATCATGTGATTCTGTCCTACTAATTGGAATTATCATCTTCTAAAAGAGGCGGATACAAAGTTTTAGTTATCTTTCAAACTTTTTTAAGAAAAAATTGTTTTGTTACTCTCTATCTTTTGTAAAAAGGAACTACATGACTGAATTTTCATTTCTACATTTATTATCTCGTTGTAGTGAAACTCCTTCAGCACTACTGTCGCTTTTCTTATTACGATGATAATTTGGTGTATTTTTCACTTCCTTCATCATATTTTGACTTTTCTCTTGGAAACATGTTTACCTCTTGTCTGCTTTATTTTGTCTAAGCATGCGTGCGTGTGTGCGTGTGTGTGTGTGCGTATGCGCGTGCGCGTGTGCGTGTGCGTGTGTGTGTGTGCGCGTGCGCGTGCGCATTCCTATCCTCTATTATGCAAGACTAGTTTGGTTATGCAATTAAAGCAGAAACGATATCGGATAACTATTGTGTTCTCCCTCATGTTCATTATTATTTTCAAGAATATTAATGTCTTATTATGGTAGTTATAAATTTACTTCATTTAATTGCTCTATCATCTCCTTCAGATTTTTACTACAAAAATATTAAAGTTTTGGAGAAAAAACATGTAATATGTAATAGCGGCATATTGCTCTTATTTTGGTTTTACTTGTTTTCGTTCAATAATTATTATTCACAGACTTTGTTTTAATCCTTGCTTTATTTATCCTGTCGGTAATGGAAACGAGACGAGGGAGAATTAAATTGATCTTTATAATATACTTTAATGAAAGGCCATCTTGTTGTTGTTGTTGTAGCTGTTGTTCGTAGGATGATGACCTACTTCAAACACCAGTTTAATAGTAGTAAACTGATGGAAATTCAGCGGGTGGGGTGTCTGTGTTTCGATTTACAAAGTGTAATGCCAGGCAAAGCACACCTTCATCACTGTAAAATCAATTTGGAAATGTTTATGCGCTCAGCAACACAAATGTGAGATCAGTTCTTCTCTATGAGTCTCAAACTTGAAGCGTCACGAAAAGCATTTCCAACAGTCTGCTGCAGACTTTTATCAACAGCTGCCTTCATGTGCTCCATACCGAAGATCAAATGGCTGGTTGACCATAAAGGATAGGCGACAAGAAACTATGTGGAAAAAATTCGGCCAAGAACTTACCGCTCAACAAATATGTAGGAGAGAATGGAGATGTATTGGGGACACAGCACTGAGGAGACTGTTGACTGACATTGGGTGCCAGACACACCCTCAAGTGGAACCCGATCGGGAAACAGCGAGTCGGTTATCTGAGGTTGAAATGGGAGAGATCGTGAGAGGAGGGGATGAGAGACCCAGCTAAAGATTATGGCAACAAAGAAAACAAAGTGGAGACGTACTGTTGAAGCCCCGTGTTCCACTCGGAACCTAAGGGAACAATAATAATAATAAAAGTAGCGCCAGTTTATATGAAGCTATTTTAGGGATTAGTTCAGCTACTGTTTGGATATATACAGAAAAGCGTGTTTGCATTTCTGACCTCTAGATTATGGGTTTTCTCTGTAGGGATTTGGATTAATCTCAACGTAGATTTCCTTTCATTCATGCCTACTGGATAGAAAGATGCTCTGAGGCTCTACTGATAAATTCGTGACCTGTAGGTTTCACCACATCAAGGTGAAGAGGATTTTCATTGTTAAGGCATTGGTTGAGGATCACGCCAAATCACGAAGTTTGAATTCACGGATCATTGAGTTCCAGACCAAGTAGCTGAATAGTCAACAAACGAAATTAGTCTTGTGACCTAAAGATACAGGTTTCGATCCTTGGCGGCGCCGTGGATTAGATGACTAACTGACTGGTTTCAACGTAGAACTTTGCACAGGTGTGGAGCATTTCGAGTTGCCGCATTCCATGTAGCACACAAAGTAAAAGAAGAAAGTACAGAGAGATACTAAACGGAAATATGAGGCAAAAAGAATAGTATTATGAAAAAACAATAGAATTTCATTGAATATTATAAATCACAAAAGGTGAATGCATCTACACCAGCTATTGAAAACGATTTTGAGCCATATCATTAATTGTCTCCAACCTTCATCAGTTTTTACCTTCTCGAGGAACCCAGCCAGCCAGTCAGGAGTTTACATCTACCTACGTGGCTGGCTGGTTGGCTTAAACTAGCTGTTGTGGATTTAACTGACTGATGGAGCCATGTTTTCGTTTGACCGCCACGTACTAGCTCTTTGCCAACCTGATCAACCATATGTCAGTGGCTAACATTGCCTGTGGAGTAAGGCGATGGCTAGACATGCATGCATAACACATGTCTTAACCATCTCAATCGATGTAACTTCACAACCTTGTCTATTGATTTCCCCTCCTTACCTACCACTCGACTGATGCCTAACCTCAATATTACTCTCCTTATTGTACCGCTTAACACGGGAGATAGAACTCAAACACCTATGATCAAAGACAGCTAGCAAAACTTTTCGTATCTTCCACTTTCATTGGTCATGTCTAACTCACATCCATAAAGGAGGACGGAGCGAACTGCTGAGCAGTACACACAACTTTTGGTTGACAGCCAGGCGGATATCATGTCTACGCCAGAGATGGCGTAGGTTTGCCTTTGCTAAACGAGCCTTCTGTATCCGTACTGAGATATCGTCACTGATCTACCCTTTGGTGCTGATGCAACCTCCCAAATAATTGAAGTGGTCAATACGCTCTACCATCACTTCACTCCTTATCTTCAAGCTAGGAGTCAATGTAGTCCAATCCTGTAGCATCACTATAAAAGTAACGTGATAATTTAATTCTACTGTTGTATATTTGTAATTTTGAATACCTCAATTCGGTGTATCTTGATATTAATAGTAGTAAATGTAAATCAAAGAATTTTCCCTTCTTTGTTTGTTTTTTACTGAATAGGATTCATTTGAAGGAAATTGTCAGTCTGTATCCGGTGGTAATGTTTTAATTGGTCGATTAAAATTGACAGATGCTGATGCCTATCCAAATTCGGGTCCATTTACTTGTCAACTGGCTAATTCTGGTTTTATGCAAACTGCTGTAATCCATGATGCATCGATTAGGTCCAGTGTTGCTTCAACTACTAGTACTGCTTCTTCTAGTAGTAGTACATTGTTTTCAGTTCGAACTATGGAGCACAATCAGAGTAGTAGTAGTAGTAATAATAGCTCTCAGATGACGATGATGAACAGTGATAGCCAGGCAAAGAATGAAATCGATTATAGTCGAGGAGAATGTTTAATCTATGCAATTGATAGACTACCTGTAAGTTATTATTGTTTACTGTTATTCCAAATCGTTTCTGTCTATTATGCACAATTTTATCGATTATTATTATTATTTTATTCCTTTAAGTTCCTCCTAACATGTTACTTATTTTGACTTTTTTACCTTCAGGTTCGCCAGTGAAACATAGGGCTTCTAGCTAGTAGCTTGAAGTTTCTGTAACAGTGATGATCATTTTTACAGGATGGGGTTGCTAGCCTCATGTCTTATCTTTCCTCTTTACCAGCATTATTTCTGGCTTAGAGAGCGAGGTAAAGGAGTGTGTCTGTGGCCGGGAATCGAACCCTGGGTCATGTTCATGGTCGGCGAGCGTCCTAACCGCTATGCCACCGACGCACGATGGTACGCGACCTAATGGTTTTGTGCAAGGTTTGAAAAAGGCTATGTGCGTCGGTGGCACAGCGGCTAGAACGCTCGCCGACCATGTACATGGTTCGGGGTTCGATCCCCGGCCACAGACACACTCCTTTACCTCGCTCTCTAAGCCAGAAATAATGCTGGTAAAGAGGAAAGGTTGAGCATGAGGCTAGCAACCCCATCCTGTAAAAATAAAACAGTGCTACAGAAACTTCAAGCCACTAGCCACACCTGATATCTATGGTCGGCCTGCAAAATTTGGGCTACCGATATCCATGCTGAAAATTCCATACTTGTACCGAAAATACAGTGTGGAATCAAGCTGTAAATCAAAAAAAAAAACCTGTGTTCCACTGGGGAACGTGAAGGAAAGAAAAAAAGTTCCTCCTAGTGGAACATAGGGCTTCAAGATATAGCTTTGAAGTTTCGGTAGCAGTGGTCTCATTTTTATGGGATGGGGCTGTTAGCCTCTTGCCGAACCTTCCCTCTTTATCAGTCTTATTACTGGTAAAGGAGTGAGTTGGCTGGAGATCGAGCTCCGAACCTCATCGGTGGTTAGCTAGCATTCTACCACTGTACAACTATCGCACAGAGATCCTTTCTGGGATAACAGCTAATCTAAGCTCTTCGTGTTTCTTTACGTTGCGAGAAGAGCATAAACCTTCAAGCTACAGCTTTGAAGTTCCAGTAGTAATGGTGTTTGTTTTTACGGGAAGGGGTTGCTAGCCTCATACCCAACCTTCCTTCTCTACCATTTTTGCTATCAGTTAGACGGAGAGGTTTAGGAATGCGTCCGTCGGCTGGGAGTCGAACCCTAGGCCACATGAGGTGTGGTTGGTGAAGATTTCACCATTCGTGTTTTTGTATTTATTTCATTTAAATCGCGCAAGAAATGAATTTATGAGCTTGTTACATATCGTTCATTGTCTTTAATGATCATAGGGTTAAGTTTATTAGTCACAAAGTGATCAACTCGTCTGTGTTTAACTCTATTGATTCAGTGTTGTATTTTGAGTAGTATAGACAGGCGACTTATTTCAAGTTGAAGTCCTATTCAAAATAGGGATCCTATAAAAAGTTTGTATTAAACGTTGTGTGCTTTGGAATGACACTGACATATTGTGTTTTCTTTGTTGTTGTTGTATTGTTGTGATAGATTGATGATTATTTTCTTGGGTGCAGATGATAAGTCACATTACATATGATTTGAATGTATATTCTTGACCATAAAACGTGGTGGAAATCCATTTTCTATTAGGATTTTCCTCGACAGTATCAGGGCTACATATGCGCCGAATGCGAGTGGCAAGCGACTGGACTAGGTTTTGTTTTCGACCAATGGGTACCCAGCTGTAGAAATTTGTCAGCTGACCATTCCATGACAGCTTTCGCTAAATCATCATCTCTTCAGAGTTCCATCGGTCCTCCTTGATAAGTTCACATCGAGGAAATGAATACTAGACTACTCGTTCTCCATTTCGAGTGTGAATTTTATCGCTAAATGGCAACCATTAAATGCATTTAATATATATTATTCAAATTACAATCACTATTACAAATAATAAGGGTGTCATCTACATACCTTTTATACATTTGAAAGCTTTGGATTGTTAACTTCAACTGACAATTTTCTAGACTGTCCGATTTATCGAAAACTGTCATAGGATGAATGGTCAGGTTAACTGACAAATTTCTACAGTTGGGTACCCATTGGTTGAAAACGAAGATTGATGATTATATCTAGTATGCTGAAATTGTATCGGGTTTCAAAAAAGTGATCTTTTCACCAATAAGTTACTTCAAATATTTAAAAGTTTGCTCACAAAGATCCTAATCTTATGCTGAGAGTGACATACACGTGCATTTATATACTTAGTCACCATCTACAAACAAGTCCTCTCATCAGGTTGTGTATTTCAATAACATTTGTCATCTTTACAGAATAACAGTATACAGATCAGGGTTTTAATCCATGGTTATAACAATTGATACATATTTCATTAGAAGTGTTGAGCAGAGCTTCTGCTCTAAAGTTCTTATTGTGTCTCAGTACCGACTTCTTGGTTACACAGTATGCACGTGTGAAGCTTTTCGACGTTAACACGTTTCCGTTTGTCTCGTCTTTTGATGGTTTAGTCAGAATCATGTCTCTTGGTGACTGTGTTGGGTCATTGCCATTTTCGAAGGTTTTTCCATAATATTGACCCTCCTCTAACAGTGTACTGTCTTTCTCTACACCTTACCTGATGTTCGACTTTAAATATTATGCACTGCTTCTTTCCTCTCTATTCAAATTTCGAAGTGTGAGTCTTCTGTTTGTGCTTTATATCTCTGACTGCTTCTTTCCATTACGCGTGCCATGTCTTCATACTTCGATGTCGATAGTAATGTGGCCAGGTTTCCTACCATATATTAACTGAAATGGTGACTTCCTTGATGTTTCCTGAACAGAAACACGATGTGTTAGTAGAATCTATGGAAGCCCTGTCTCCCAGTGACACCTTCCTTTAGGGCCAGCCACTCCTTAAGTTTACTTTCAATTTTCTCTGTTAAACCATTAGTTTGTGGATGATACGGTGCTGTTGTAGTCCTCCTTGATACCTAGTTTCTACGATGGGGATGTAAATTCATTACTTTCAAAATAAAGATCTTGATTCCTCCGTTATGATCTTTGGTACACGATTGTCTCTGCAACGGTATGTCGAATCACTGCATCATGTATGTATGTGTATATACACACGTGGGGGTTTCTATCAGATAATTATTTATTGAAGTCTACAAATTATGTGTTTCACGGTATTTTCTGCGTCTTGTCATTAACGTTGTTATCGTATGTTCAATTTACCTTTCCACATTTTTGTTATTAAGTAGATAAGAGTTCATATATAATATGTCTTTGCATGCTTATTTAATACTTATTTCTTATTACATAATACTTTTATTTCGTAGGTTGGTAGTCAAAGTCTAGTGATAAGAGCTAATGACAATGGATTGACTGCATTGCATACTACAACTACAGTCACAATTCGTGTAATTCGTATGTCAAATTTACCACCAGAAATAGTGAATACAAATTCTACACTAATTTACTATCGTGGTAGTGCATACAATAATAATAATAAGAATATGCTGAATACTGGTATTACTGAGTCGACCACAGCGAAACAAGAACAAAATTATGATACAACAATAGCTCGAATAACAGTCAAAGATCGTACTACGCATGATCGTTTGTTTTTTGAATTACTGAATAATGATGATAATATGTCCATAACAAATCTATTCTCAGTTGATCCATACGATGGAACTATACGCTCAGCTGGTGGTGGTGGTGGTACACTGTCATCCAGTTCATCTTCAACACTTCAATCTACACTACGTGATACATCATCATCATCATCATCATCGTCACAGCCAACTTCTACTAAACCTGAGACATATTCATTCCGTAATTCACTTATTCATCTTGATTCTGGTCTTTATCCTTTACGTGTACGTGTCACAAACGGTACACTGACCTCTGAAGCTGTTATGCATATTAAGGTAGGTTGTTTATGTCATATATATATATATATATATATAATGTATTGGGTTTGAATTGAGGCTTTTTTACCCCCTCTGGTAGTTGATAACTGTTGTTTGTTACACCCGTCATAGTTGCTATGATTCTTCTTAAATTTTTCTTTGGTTTTTTTGGGTTTTAGAAGGACTGTTCGACATTTTATTTCAGAAGAACAGTTACTGTTCAGCTTGCCAACAATTGTTGTTTAATCCTAATAAGAATAATAACATACTATGAGAGGGAGGATCTGTGGCATATTTAGTCTAGGTGCTCAAAATCCAACCACTACTACTGGGTCATGGGTTCCGAAATTCGCCTCACGTATACCGAGATTTGGGCAGCCTAGTAGTACTACTATCTCTCTCTCTGTCTCACACACATACAAAATAGGTTTGGCTCTCACTGCCAACTGCATGCAGTTGGAAGTGGTTTCTGAGTAACATTCATGGGTCTAGCAGTGTAAAACAGAATAGTTAGAAGTCAATCAGACAGTTTGTTAAAAAGGAAATGTAGTGATTAAGAAATAATATTAACAATAATAGAAATATATATTGTGTGATTCACTGGTAGACTGCTAAACAGCTATACCTTACATGGCTGTGGTCCGGGGTTCGATTCCCGACTGCCGACATACTTCTCAGTCTCACCTAGTTTACCAGCTGGTGGTACTAGTAAGTCGCCTGGAAAAGAGGGAAGATTGGACGTGAGTGAGACTACCATCCCCATCTCATGGAACAAAAACAACACTGCCATTGAAACTCCACATCTAGGAGGCCTACGAATAGATTTTGTTTGTCCTTTACTTAACCACACGCCAATTAAAATACTAAGTCGCATCGTCCTGGAGAGAATGAAAGATGCACTGGATGCACAACTTCAACAACCTGGAACAAGCTGGCTGGATTTAGGAAAGGCAAATCATGCGCTGATCGCATGGCAACTCTATACATTGTCATCGAACAAATCACAGAATGCCAGTCAAATCTGTACCTCAACTTCGGAAAGGACTTCGAGAGCGTTGACCGGGTAGTAATTTGGAAACTATGAAGTACCTCAAGTCTTTATAAACCTCATTCAACAACTACCTATATGACAATGCTACGTGTTAGGTGATCCACAACGGAAAACTCATTCAGCGAGGCGTTCGAAATGAATACAGGAGTAAGACAAGCTCAATGTCTGTCAATTAACACCGATGAGATTCTTAATTGTGATGGACTGGATTATGCGTCAGACTGTGCATCGGGAGCGAGGAGATAGGAATGCACTGAACTACCGATATAAAGACTCTTGAAGAGCTGGATTTCGCTTGTGCAATATTCGGATTCTATTCAACACAAATATGAAGTCAGTCAGTTCTTCTATAAGGGTGAGAAAATTGCACTTGCGTATCAGTCACGAAAAGGATTTCCAACAGTTTGTTGCAAACTTTCATCAACAGCTGCCCACTTCTCTGGCTGGCTCCATACTAAAGATCTCAAATGGCCAGCCAGAAAGAATAAGTAACAAGAAACTGTGAGAACAAGCCAACAAGCAAGAGCCGATCGCTCAACAAATATGTAGGAGAAAATGTGGATGGATTGAGCATCCGTTGAGGAGGCCGTCGAATGGCATAAGGCGCAATGCAAGCCATCGTTCAAGTGAAACCCGAATGGGAAGCGATGAGTGGGTCATCGGTGCGAGGGTGACATGGAGGAGGTCATTTGATGAGGGGAGAGGGGATGAGAGATTATGGTTAAACGTGGACCCAACTGAGGAAGAAGGCAGAAAATAGAGTAAACAAGGAGATGTGTTGTTGAAGCTCTACATTCCATTCGGACACCCAAGGGAATAATAATCATATCATTTCAATTTTATTCTATAAAATTTTTGTTAGACAAGTACAGGTCATAGCTAACTGTAATATTATTGTATTGATAAAAAAAAAATGAATAAATTTCATAGAGGAATCAGTTCCAGTGTACTTAATATCCTCTTTTTATCAAAGAAGGAAAAGGAAGACCAATTGTATTGAATGATCACTTTGATCGACATTTGTTTATGCCTATCGACAGACCTGCTTCAATGAATTAAATAAACTTACTTACCTGCTTCCTCTTCCCCGCCAACCCCCACTTACACTCCCACCATTCTTTTTTCCCTCCAAAAAGACCGTATAATCTTTATCATTTTCCAAAATTTACTTAACTTATGTTTTATTGTTAAAAACTTGATTTTATTTGATTGAGTGCATATCCTCTTCCTCCTCCACATCGTCTTCTCCCTCTTCTTCTTCTACTTGTTCGCCTTTTTTTCCCCTCTCTTCTTCTTCTTCTACTTTGTTGGACTGTGGTTTTTCTCTACTCCCCTTCTCTTTCTTTATCTCTCTCTCTCTCTCTCCGTCTCAATCTCAAGAACTCGTTCAAGTGATGGAAGTCCTTATATATTTTTTTATATACATTTGATCTCCACTCATATGTATATCAATGATTATTCAAGCGCCTATGAAACGACTAAAACTTGAAATTTGCATGATTAACATTTTAATTTGAAAATTACTTTTTTCCCCCTTATTTCTGATTGATTTTGGTGCTTTAAACTTTGTGTGTGTGTGTGTGTGTGCGTGCATGCATCTGTGTGCATGCTTCAATGACAAGTTGTTGTGTCGACCTTCCGTGTAGAGTATAGTGATAATAATAATAATAGTAGTGGTAATAGTAGTAGTATTAGGAAAGAGTTCAAGGGTTCTATTGATGTTTGACTTCTTTTTTAATTTTTTTATTCAAAAGCATACTTATTAAAGACTTGTAAAGGGTTATCATTACCGAAGAGTAGTGGTTAACCTACTACTACTCGACAATTTTGGTTTTTTCTTATCAAACTATATACTACTGCTTGATTGAGATGAGTAGTGCTTGCTCTAGCCAACCAGTCAGTCAGACCGAAGTGATCTAATAAACACCACCGGCTAGGGGCGTTTCGTTCATTTGGGGTTGGTCGAGTCCATCAACTCAGTTCAGAAAACTGGATCAGTTGAAACCATCTGAATTCTACTACTAGCTACTTGGTTGAAATGGTAGCATCTTAAATCAAATTCGCAATTTACAAACTGATTATCAATTTACAATGTACACAGCTCTAGGGAGTGGGATTTCACCACAGAGGTTAGGCTGTGAGTGTTAAGCAAAAGGAGGCAAAGTCAATTGTTGGTGAGTTGGTGAAACTACATCAATTGAGATGGTTAGGACATGTGTTACACACGCCGTGACATCGCATTCTTCTTCAACCGATGTTAGTTGATTTAGGATTAGATTGGAAAACAGATCTCTGACAGTTTTTTAAGCTACGTATGGAGGGAGGTGTAGATTGGCCAGTTGGGGTGTTCAGGATACTCAGAACCAAAGACTAACTACGTAGGTCTAGTCATCGCCTTCCTCGACGGGAAATGTTAGCTGATATAGGGTCATGTGGGAAAGGGGTTAGCGGTAGTCAAACCAAAACACGGCTTCATCAGTCAATGAAATCCACAACAGTTAGTTTAGGCCAGCCAGCTACGTATGAAGGTGTCGACTTCGTGACTGGTTGGGGTCCTCGGGACGGTAAACATCAATAGCGGCTGGAGACAATCAGTATTATTGCTCCAAATCATTCTCAATGACAGCGCAGATGCATCCACTTCTTGTGACTTACAATACTCAGTGAAACTGTATTCTTCTTCGTTATTACTATTCCTTTTGTCTCATGTCCTTGTCTACTCTCTTTATTTTTCATTTCTTCTACTTTCTTGTCTTGCTTTGTGTGCTACATGGAGGAAGTGTGGCTACTTGAATTGCTGCACATCGGTGCAAAGTTCTGCGTCGAAAATAGACAGACAGAATAAAAGCAGTTAGTGACTACTCATTTCAGTCAATCTAATTAATATAGCAGCCTGCCGTTTGTTGATATTTCAGTAAAAAGCTTCTTTCATGATAATAATTGTTTATAGTTCGTATTTTAAATACTATGACATTTTTGTTGCCTGTATATATTGTTTTCCATTTGTTGTATATAAAGAGAATTGTTAAGTATGGCATGATTTCATGTCTCTGGGGTTATACACCCTGGTTGTAACGTTTATCCAGCAGAATATTTGAAGACAATTTTACCGCCGATGACATTAGCTGACAGTGTCACTATAGAAATCGTAAACTGAACAGAGATTTAAATTCATAGGGCAGCCATTGGATTCCATCCCAGCGGCTAAATGGTCGACTAGCTGACTTTGTAACTTGAAGTTCCTGGGTTCGACCCCATGTCAGTGAGATCATAGAGCTGTGTACTACTGAAAAGTATTAAACTAGAACAGGACAACCGTCCAGTACTCCCTACTGGTTTCCAATGTTTCTCTCTAACTAAATGAAGTCAGCTGGTTCGTGAACATTCTTGAAATCAATCGAATCCTTAGAAACAACCACTTGAAAATAAAATATTTCTGCTTTTAAAAGACAGTTATTCATAGTGCTGCTTCATGATTTTATCTTCCTCTTATATTGCATAACGATATATGTATATGAGTGATAGGTATGCTGTGGCAAAATATTTATTCCCCCCTACAGTGTGTGTGTGTGTGCGTGTAATGCTTATCAGATGATTTAATGGTTCACTGATTATTTTGCTAAGCTACACAGAATTCTGTTTCACCTCTTAGTAATGTAATATACTGCTGTGCAAGTTCTGTTTTCTTATTTTTTATTTTATAGGTGTTAAGAGTTTCTAAATTAGCAATTAAGTTAAGGGGCTAGTGATGATTATTATATGTTTATACATAAATATGATAATGTACATGTTTTGTAATTACAAATGTCAAAATGATTAGATGAAGTTTTACTTCTATATACGCTTTTATATGGGTGTGTATATATTATTATTATACATAGATTAAGGTTATAAATAGTTATGTTTTATTTTTCTGATTGCATTTTAGTTAGTTGCTTACATATTCGGTTTAGGTAAGAATGGATAGATAGATAGATAGATAAATAGATGTGTAACCAGCTAGCTAATCGTTTAATCATCCTGGTGACTAGACCTGATGATTATTTTACTATTTACTTCTATTCTATACCATGAACTTTAGGGGTGAAATTGTATAATAAACCTTCTTCACGTAATATAGGTTATTTTCTTGGTGCTTAGCGTCTGAAATGTATTCATTTGTGACTATTTAAGAATGATACGTCTGTGTGTGTGTGTGTGTGTGTGTCAGACACACGCTGAGGAGACTGTCGAATGACATCGTGCACCAGACCATCTCCCAAGTGGAACCGGAACGGGGAACGACGAGTGGGACGCCCAAGGGTGATATAGAGGAAGAGATAAGAGACCATCGGCAATTGTGAGGACAGCTAATGAGGACAGCAGAGAATACGATAAAGTAAAGATGTTCTTTTGAAGCCCTATGTCCCACTCGGAACCTAAGGGAACAATAATAATTGGTTCAATGGCTCTCTAACTGATATCAATCCGTGATCAACTCGTAAAAACAAAACTAACCCTTACAAACCAAATCATAGAAAATTAATCTGATGCTGCTAGCTAGTGACTTGCTACAGGATGGAGTTTCCTGGAGTCAGTTCTAGTGAGAAGTCGTGACCAGTGAGGTCCATCCAGATGTCACGTGTGTGGATGAATGTCCCACCCACGACAATGCATGGGGTCGCGCTAAATCACGAAATGGTAGAAGTTAGAATTCATGGGTTTGCCAATGAATCGGGTCTCAGTGGCTGAATGGTATACGAGCCAGCTTGCGTTGTAACCGGAAGTTCTTGGGTTCGAACCCCACTGTGGTGGGTGCGTATTGCCGACGATTCCCGAACTAGGATGAAACAGTTGGCTGTACAGTACTCCACTGCTGGTTTTCAATGTTCTCTAATCCATATCAATCCGTGATCAACTTGTAAAAACAAAACTAACCCTTACAAACCAAACTATAGACAAAAATAATAATATGCCGGTGATCCAGAAGTAGAATGTTCGTTAACCGACATCTCACATGGCCCAGATTCTATTCTCAGATGCACCTTACCGCATAAAAGGTAGTAAGCCCAGTAAAGAGGAGAGGTTGGGTTTAAGACGCGCAACCACCACCCCTCCCCACGGAAAGACAACATCATCGCTGCTACTGGAACTTCAAAGCTCAAGGTTGACAGTTTATGTTCCACTGGGAATGTGAAGGATAACTGTGTCTAAAACCCATAACCTGTCAACTAGTTGTTCCTATTCTAATGTCTACCATGTTTACACTCCTTATTTTATTGTATAAAATTCTTTTTTTTGTTTTTCTATATTTTTTCAGGTTATATCAATAACTGAAGAAATGTTAGACTCAGCCTTGGTAATTCGTATAACAAATCTACTGCCTAATTTATTTTATATGGAAAATTATAATACGCTATTACAAAAACACTTATCCAATCTATTGTTAGACTCAAGATTATCTCAATTCTCATCGGTGAATTCACCTACACTTGTACAAAATTCATCTCAAGATAATGTTTACATTCTGTCTGTACAAGAAACCGACTTTCCAAACGGGCTTTCCTCATCCACCTTGTTATCTTCATCATTATATCACGAAGGCAGATATACTTCTCATCAACAACGTCGTAGTAAACGTAGTCTTGATAGAGCAGTTGATATTCTTGTCGCCGTATATGATCCTAAAGAAAGAGAGTATATAAAGCCAAATAAAATTGCTCAAGCTGTTAACGGGATAGCTGATCGTTTAGCTGTTGAATTCGGTGGAGAGATTGAAGCTATACATGATGTTTGTACTCCACAGGTTAGTGTTTTATTTTCTGAATTCTAATTTAGCCTGTTTTTATAGGTTATATTGAATTTTTTCACCTAGACAGAGACTTTGTTCTTGATGTCAGATGGTTTCGTGACACTCTTCAGCTGGGCGTATTTGCCATTCGTAAAGGAACTGATCTCCAACCTCTGAAATTTGAACCTGCATCATTCAGTACTGCAGTTAGAGACATTACCATTGAGTTATTCGGGTGTGAAAAACCTAAGGGGGAGGAATATCACTTCCTTCAAGATTGCAGACACACCTTGCCGGTGACGGACAACGTCAGACATGAAACTTAAGTGTAATGCTTCCTGTCGATTGCCTTCAACTATCTCACAACAATTTAGAGTGCATCAGAATGGCGAGTTATCTCGCTTGGTGACCATATCATTCTTCTAGTGCATATATACATAGTGTTGAAGCTTTGAATCAATAATATATTCATAGTAATACTAGAAATTCAATATATTAGTAGTGTAGCAGTTGAAGTTTAATCTTACACGAAATAGAAAAGTTTAAAGGAACAGGAAAATGTTGAAGTTATCACATAAGACGAACTAGTGTAAAGAAGATCAGTCAGTCAGCCTTTAGTGATTTGATTAGTCAACCTAATCCTTCCCCAAAATATGATCTCAACTGTTTGTTAAGCCACGAGTTCAAGTGTCACCTTCCACCTACCTCAAGTCGTGGAAGTGGGCAGTAGTAGTGCATCAGTCATCAGCCCTCACACACGCACACATACACACGAAAAGTGTGTGGCTCAGTAACCCGGTATATAATAAAATCTGTTCCAGGTTGTTGTGCTTTTATATAAAACAAATACGATTATACAACAGCAAATCAATATCCTTTAACGATGATATGTGAATGGGAACCGGCAAGTCGGCCGTGCTGGTCTAAGGGCTGCATGTGGAGGCGATTGTCAAACCAGTTAAAAAAAGGACTGTGAGGAGCCCTATGCTCTACTTTAATGTAAGCTATAGGAATAGTAATAATACATAAGAAAACCATCCAGTTACTTCATTGTCTTGAAAGAAATACAATTTTGACACAAAGAAAAACACCGGTGGTTGTGCTGCTGGTTGTTGTGGTGGCGGTGTGTAGCTTATGTTGTTCTTTCAATTCCCTTTCTTTATGAAAACTTTCAAATTACGTGTTAAGACGAAAAAGCTATCTGTATTAGTCGTGAAATCATGATTTATGCATGCACTAACATGATAACCTGATTGGACAGTCTTCGATTCGTTTATTTTCGGCCTGAACTTGTGAGCATTTGCGATGTCCACTACAAACAATCAGATATCTTTATTTACCTATCCATAGCTTCAATTCCTGAGGTTGTAATAAACTATATATACCATGTATATTGAATAATAAAATATTGTCTCAGTTGAATCCAACCTCTGTGTCTATGTCTATTAGTGTGGGGGATATTTTCAAGTGGTCAGTTCGTTAGATAGTGTTGTTTCTAGAGGTGCATGGTGGTCAAGTTAGACAACCGCAGTAACACTCCGTATTCGAGCTAAGAGATAGGTTTCCTCGTCTTCATCACCTCACATCATATCACATCTAATAAAAAGCATTGCCACACGGTCATTACTATTACTATTTGTTATGTTGCTGCTGCTGAGTGGTTAATAATAGTTTTCCCCGTCGCCAAATTGTTATGTACTCGTCGCTAAATTATTGCTATGTAGTGGTCGAGAATTTAATAGTCCTGACGCAAGAAAGACGGAAATCAGAAGACCACTAGGTTTGCGATGATACTTCTATTTTCCAAACACAAGGAGAATGCAAAGTGTGGTATCACACCAAAGGAAGTAAGTAAGTAAGTCACACAAGATTGTGTGAGCGAAATATATATGACCATCCAGACAAGTGTGCGAACAAATCAATAGACAGTCTTAACATGAATGGCTAATTATAATGGAGTGTCGATCCAAATATACATAGCAAAATATAGCAGACATGTCAACAACCACCATATATGGATATATGTCACCAAGCAACGGACTGTCAACAAACACTCATATTATATATAATATGAGGGGAATATACATTGTTAAAGGAGACAAGTTCATCAAGTTGAAATGGTCACAGACTAAGCGAGCAAACAGAAAGAGAGATCACCATATATATATATATATATATATATATATATATATATGGATACATATCACTATTATTATCATGATGATGATTATTCTTCATTTTTTTTTAATTTCTTGTCTAACTTAGATGAAATTTGTGTTTTTTCAAGCATTATTTCATACATACACTTATTATTAGGTGTAAATCCAAGGTGGTATATCTCTTCCTCTTTCGACCGATTCATCTTTGTTGTCTCATAGTCTCATGTCTTATAGACAGACAGGGAAAATGATTAAATGAAAAAGTCTGGTCTGAATCACCAGTGTCTTGTTGTAATAGTTACAGTCTATAATTATATAATAATAATTATTATTCTTGAATCTGAAAATGCATTCATCATTGCATCACTCTGTGTCTGTATTGTGAATAGAGAATTCAGCGTGCTGTTGTGTGCTGTGTGTGTGTGTGTGTGCGTTTGAATGTGTGTAGGTTTCGCGAGAAGTATCAAGATGCATGCAGAAGACTCTGAGAAATTATAATTTGCTTTGATTAACCAAATAAAACAATTGAGTGTTTGACAGATCGGTAAAAAAATCACATAGTATAATATGTGTTTAAATTATAGGTAGGTTTCTCGAAGGGATTTGAATTAATTAATTAATTAATTTCAGTTGCATAGATTCCGTCATGAACCAAAACATATCAGTTATAGAGGGCGAGATCATTGAAAACCAACCAACTTGGATCACTGGATAGCTGTTTCGTCCTAGATTGGGACCCTTCATCAGTGCGCACCAACGGTCTCACCACTAGGAATCGAACCTGGGACCTTTGGGTTACGAGACCAAGGTCGTTTATTGACCATTCTGCCATTTTGGCTGGAATTCAATAACTCATGAATTCTACCTTCAACCAAACCTTCTCTATGAGCCTTCACTTCACCTTGACATGGGTTTGACTCCTGGTAGAGGAGGGCATCGCGGGTGCTTACTGATGAAGAACCCTAAATCAAGGTGTGAACGGCCGGGCCCGTCTTCCTTGGTTTTGAATAATCTCTTACTGACATAGAAATTTATCTAATTCCTTAAAAACATCGTATTCTAAATAAAATTAGTATCACGAAGAAAACAGAAAAAGGAAGACGTAATTTTTTTTTACCTGAATCGTATTATCTATGCATTTGCGCAACTCACATTTCGAACAATTTAATCACAACACACGTACTTTATATCGAAAAATAACAAAGTGTTAACGATTGATACAATAGATATACATCTAGGTGGGAAGCTATACTGAAGGTCAAAATAACACTGGAGATATCGATAAACCAGAGAAGGCAGATATATATTAGTACATATATCCTGGTATCAAAACAAAGTTTATCAAGGAAGGTGATAAGAAATTGTTTTTTGAAAACATAATGGTGATGTAAACTTTCTAATCACTCTAGGGTTTCCAAAAACTTTGAGATGTTCTCCCCACCCTCCCACCCCTTCCGATGCATAAACACCAATTTTACACCCTATGTCTGTAATATATTTCTCAGTGTTTTCACCACCAATAGGTTAGGGGGTTTGGGGGAGAGATACAATGTGCTTCTGTGTGATCAGATTATTCCAGAGTGTGTGTTGCGTAAATGCTGCATTACACGGTTCAGAAAAAAGTTACGTCTTCTTAGTGTGTAATCTAAATTTATAAAGGGAACTGGTCGTTATAAAGCGGTTATATTTTTAATCTATTTGCGACCGGGCATCGAACTCCGGATCACATGAGGCGTAGCCAGCAAGTATTCAATCACTGAACCATCGATGCCACTAAATTCTATGAATACGTCACATATTATATAATATTAATGTTAAAAATCTACTTTGTATGTCTTGTTATATTTTTTTCCTTTCAGTTTTGTCCTCGTGGTCGATGTCATACAAAAGTTACAATTGATCCAGACGGTGTAATGAATCGTGTTGAAGTACATCGGGTTAATCAAGTCTCGCCTCGATTTCTTCTATCACCTGTTTGCCAGTGTCCAATGCATTTTACTGGTGTTCTGTGTAACACTCCAACAGATGCTTGTGCTATGGCTAATTGTCCTGCTTCACGAATATGTGTACCACACGGTTTGAATGATTATACGTGTATATGTCCACCACCTCGTACTGGTCCTAATTGTGAATCACTTTTAATATACAATGATAAGGATAATTGTCATTCAGAGGCTTGTTTCAATCAAAGGGGTAAGAAATATGTCCTATTTTATTGTGTTTTTTTTCACTTACCTATCTATCAGCAAAAAGATATTCAGAAGAAGCATAATGACCAGAAGTGTTCGGGAGAAAGGAAGAATAGTCACGTGAAAACACATGAGGATTTAATGGATACAGGAGAGCACAAAGAGTGGATGCGTCTTCGCCATTGAGGGCGACTTTAAGCTACGTTATCACTATAGTTTCCAGTTTTTGGTTCTCAGCCTCCCCCAAAAGAAACTCCAAGAATGTAGTCTGCACCTCCCTATGTTGCTGGCTGATGGACTGAAGCCAGATTTTGATCTGATCACCCCTAACTCTTTTCCAACTCAACCTCATGTTAGCTGATATTGCTCCTCGAGGAAGGCTGGGGATCAGCATGCTTAACATGTGTCCTAACCCTACCTACCTACCTACCTACCGAACACTCTACTCCTGATCTCAATACTGCTCATAGAAAAATCCTTAACTTTCTTTACAGTCTGTGTTATAAGGGAGTGTTATTGATTTCTGGTTGTCGTCTGACTTTTGACTAGAATGAACCTCCAGACACGAAACTACAACAAACTGATCGCTTGAAAGCATTCCCTCCCCCCAGACTGAGATGGACACAAAAGTCAGATTTAACTGTGACAACGAACACGTTTTATTTATTCAAAATTCAGGATATATATATATATATATAATTTACAAAATCTCAGGAACTCAAGCAATAAATAAATAACCAATTTTGATTGGTTGTGTGACATCGCAAATCCTCAGAAATTCAAGCCAAAAATCAGCCAATCAAAAATCGTCCAATCAGATTATCATGCCAGTGGATGCATAAATGATGATTTCACGGTTAACAGCGATAGGCTATCCATCCTTACGGTCTACCTAGCTGACCATTGATGCATAAAAGTTGTTTTGTCATTATAAAAATGATTTTTTTAAATGTAAAACACAAAAGCAAACCTACTGTTATTTACTTGAATAAATGTTTACATTCGAATATCTACTAACCTCATTCTTAATCATCCTACAAGTTTATTATACAGTTGAATGATTGATTCATCGAGTTAAATACTAATTCCCATCGATAATACATAATTGTAGATATAAGGAGTAGAAACATCATCAATCTTGCGTAATCATTTGTTCAGTTGTGTATTCACACAGTGTGTATCTTGTCTAGGGTATTACAGTCACATTTAGATTTGTCATTTATTTTATCTCATCTCTAGGCTTATGACTGTTTTTGTATCTACCCAATAGGGAAAATGCACCTCAGAATGTTTCTTCCAGTAGTACTTTTCACTTCCTATTTTTCTTGGAAGTCGACGTTTACATCTCCATTTATCCTGTTCTCTGAAGTCCTCTTTAGCTGGTTACGCAATTGCCTATAGGTTTTCACCTCTTTCTCATATGATCTACTCCATGTCACCCTTAGGTGCCCGACTCGTCGTTTACCATTCCGGTCTCACTATAGCGATGGCCTGTCGCGTGATGTTACTCAGTGGTCTCTTCAGGGTTTATTCGATCCATCTCAATTTTCTTCGGAATATCTGTTGAGCCATAGATCCTTCATTGTTTCACCACATACCAGAGTTCCTTGTAGCTGATCCTTCTCGTCAGGTCATCTGATCTTTAGTACGGAGCCAGCAAAGGGGAAGTCTGTTGATAAACGTCTGCAACAGGCTGTTGGAAATGCTTTTCGTGACGCGTGTACCAAGTTTCTGACCCTTCAAAAGAACTGGATTAGTCCTATAGATAGTGCGTATTCGCTGACCACGTATGTGATCCTGGGTTCGACTGCGGGCCAACAGATTCACTCCCAAACCTCGCTTCCTAGCCGGTAGTAAGCCTTGTAAAGCAGAAAGGTTGGGCGTAAAAGCAACATCACTGCTATTGTAACTTCGAAGATCAAGCTTTTGAGGCCTAATATTTCACTTGAAGCGCAAAGTAAAGAGAAAAGAAAGTAAAATATGAGATTGACGATAATGATTATTCACTTGACATACCTACAATTCACAAGTTTGTAGAAGGGATAATTATGTGATGTAATTAACCGTGAATGTTTTCGGATCATTGGCGTTGCTACTCAACTCCGAGTTACTCCGAACCAAACACTCGATAGTTTGATAATATTTCATACACTAAACGTGTATTTCCTTAGCTCAATGTGTAAGGATATTGATAGTTATTGAAATCTTGGCAAATTTTAATATTATTCCACCTATTGTACCGAAAAAGAATTCTTTGGTAATGCTGTATGCAATAAGGTGGTGGCATCTGGTGCTTTCTAGTGACCGGCTACAGGATGCAACTGCTTGGAGTTCTAGTGAGAAATCGTGACCAGTGAGGTCCACCAGGCCGGAAGTGAGGACAAATACTCGCCGATTACACTAGTTGGTTCCAGTCGCGCTAAAATCACGAATCGGTCGAAGTTGAAATTCATGGGCCATTGAGTCGGCTCCCAGTGGCTGAATGGTTCACGAACTTACTTTGTAACAGGAAGGTGCTGGGCTGGAACTTTGGCGATGGGTGGGTACAGCTGTTGAGTCCAAACAAGGATGATGATTGTGCTTTTGAAAGTGTGTGGGCGGTTGTTACTTCCCGGCTGCCAACACCGTGGAATTTGATTGATTCTTCGGTTACCTGAAACCGAAAGAGGGCTAGTGTTGCGTTACCGCAGATCCCAGGGGACAGCTGCTTGAGGCCGGTCACACACGGCCTGTATGAACTGGTTTCTGGGATTGGTTCCGTATTAGTAAACTTAACGCCGGTTATGGACCACCGTAGGGTAAGTCGGGATGTACACTTTACGGGGTCGACCTTTTCTAATCCCCTCTCTCCGGCAGAGTGGAGAGACAGCATAGCTGGTTGACATGCTGGTCATCTGAGGGAAACGCCTCACTGCCGTTACACCCCTGTTCCCCAGCAGTACGGCTTCGCCCTCAGACCCCCAGCATAGTGTAAGAAAGATTCTTACACTACTCCGTTAACTGCTTCTAGTTTAATCGCTATCATAACAACCTTTCTGGCATGGTAGGACCTGCAGGAACATTTGTTCCAGCCAGTGCAGCTTGTTGGGTCATCCCGATGTGCAAGTCCGACCACCACGTCAAGGTAGCAGCTATCGGTCAGGAAACAAAGATGAGACGCCTGTCCAGTATTCCCTGCTACTTTTCAATGGTTCTTTAACTGAAATTGGTCTGTGATCAAACTTGAAACAAATCAAGTCCCTACAAACTATCTCTTAAAGAGTGGTATTTGTTGTTTGAAATCTCGTTTTACCTGTATCACTATACTTCTCTTTATTGTCTTTTTGCTTTTGTTTCTAGAAAATGGACCTTTACAATTTACTGGTGGCTCTTTTATTCAATGGGAATTTTTAAATCCAAACCCATTTTATTTTGAGTTGAAATTCGCCTTTCGAACTCGACAAACTAATGAACCCTTGGCGTTTATACGTTGGTCATCCCTGCGAACATTTCAATTGAGACTGACAAACAATGGATATTTAGTTATCTCTCCAATTGGTTTATCTAACGGTCTTCCATTGAATGATTGGTTAATGTTTAATGAAGCGTTTACTGATGGTCATTGGCATCGTGTACGATTTGTTCTAACTGCTTTAGATGATTCTAGTACAGTTATACCAAGTGATGCTTTGTTGTATAATTCACTATTTCAAGGTAATTTAATACTATCAGTATGTGTACTTTTTAAATTAACTGCCTTAACAGCGAAAGCGCTTTGCTGAACTTTACTGTCTGTTGTTTGAATGTAATCATTTGAATCATCCTATGATATGTCTATGTCTAGATGTCGCACAAACTCGAAAATGTACAGGCGAAGATCAATAAGTAGGTAGGCAGAAGTACCGAAGATAGAACTTCAGGTTAACGTAGAGAAGACAGTTGATGAAGATACCAAAATGACAAAAACAAGCACTACAGTCATCATCACTTATCTAGGCAGCATTGTTTCAACTACAGGCAGAGGCACGGATGACGATGACAAAGCCAGTCAGAGTCGAAAAGGCGGGACCGACCTCCATTACTTTGAAGTCGGCGTGAAAGTCTACTGCACTCATCATTATAAGGAACTGTATTCGTATTTGCAGCAATAATATCAAGTCAGTCATTGTTTGGAGTGTACGTCACCAAAAGCCTTTCCAACAGACTAATTCAAACTTTACTGACTTGATACTGAAGATCAGATGAGCGGCTTGGTTAGAGGAGGGGGACTAGTAAACAACTTGGAACTCTGGAAATGCACTAATCAAGAACATATTGCCTAACATATATGCAGAAGGTAGTGGAGATGGATTGGAAACAAGCTGAGGAGACTGTTGAGTGACATCACTTGCAATGCAGGCCCTCGAGTGGAACCCGAATGGGACACGATGAGTTTGACACGAATCTGATGGTGATATCGAGGAGATCGTGTAATACGGAGGAGATGAAAGCTTATGAGCAATCGTGGAGCCAGCTAAAAATGAGAGAGATGGCGATGTGCTATTGATGCCCTGTGTATTATTATTATTTTTCCCTTGGGTTCCGAGTGTGACGCAAGGCTTCAACAACACATCTCCACTTTCCCCTATTTTCTGCTGTCCTCTTCAGCTGGGTGGCTCCACGATTGCCCATAATCTCTCGTTTCTTCCTCAAACGATCTCCACCATGTCACCCCCACACCGACGACCCCCACTCGTCGCTTCCCATTCGGATTCCACTCGAGGGCCTGGCGATGGTGCGATGTCATTCGACAGTTTCCTCAATGTATGCTCGATCCATACATATTTGTTGAGCGATCGGCTCTTGCTTGTTGGTTTATTCTCAGCCAAAGTTTCTTGTTCCTAATCCTTTCTGGTCGGATATTTGATATTCATTAGGGAGTCAGCGAAGTGGGCAATTGTTGATGAAAGTTTGTCCTGTTGGAAATCCTTTTCGTGACTGACACGCATTGCAAGTTACTCACTCGTATGGAAGAACTGACTGACTTCACATTCGTGTTGAATAGAATCCGAATCTTGTTCTCTATGCTGACTGAGTGCATAAGATTTCCAAACTGGTTTCAGGTGTTGATAAAGGCGTATCTTGTCTTTCCGATTCTGGCTTTGACATCTTTATCCGTTCCAACTTTCTGTAGTTAAAACGATGCTTCCTAGATAAGTGAAGGAAGGAAGTAACCTTTGTTAAGCCTCTCCCGTTGATGGTAATTGGTTCTGGTTGTTGTTGTTGTTGTCGTCGTCGTCGTTGGTTAGTTGGTTATCCTCATATTCTCTATGTTCACTTGGAGTTCTGTCTTCCCTACTCGCCTCTTCCGCCAGTTTGTTGCTTTTTACCTGCAAGTTTTCAAGTTTGCACAAATGGACTTCGGAAGTCATTTGTTCATATCACAGTTTTCCTTAAGTGCCAGAATCGGAAAAGCAAGACAAGCTTTCATTACTCTCAAATCTGTGTGGAGGTCAACAGCAATCAGCATCAAAAATAAGATCCGGATTTTCAACTCCAATGTGAAGTCAGTGCTACTATACGGATCAGAGACTTGGCGAGTCATAAAGAGCATCTCAAACAAACTTCAAACCTTCATTAACAACTGTCTCCGCTCAATACTCAAGATCAGATGGCCAGAAAAGATCAGCAACAGGGATCTCTGTCAATGAGCGAACCAACCAGGAACCGATTGTGAAACAAATAGGCAGAAAGAAATGGAGATGGATTGACCATACGCTGAGGAAACCATCAAGTGACATCACTAGACAAGCCCTCGAGTGGAACCCGAAAGGGAGGCGGCGAGTTGGTCGTCCAAGGGTGACTTGGAGGAGGTCATGCGAGGAGGAAATGAAAGCATGTGGACAGACCTGGAGCAGGGTGAAAAAGTTGTCAGAAAACCGAAGTCAATGGAGGTGCGCAGCTGAAGCCTTATGTTCCTCTAGGAACTAAAGGATACAATACTAATAATAATATTTATAAGTTATGTGAACAATTTTTTTCATTAAGTTTATATGCGCTGTTATGTTGCTTATACATTTTATCCCATCTTCTTTTTTTTCCCCACTAAAGATCGTGATCTCATGCATTCGGAGGCGAAATCAAATCCTTGGCAGTCTAGTTCCAGTTGGTTAGCTGAATTAACTGTCGATGGAATAAATCCTAAATCTGCATTAATTGAATGGAGTCCAGGTGATTCATATCAACAAGGCATTCTAGTTGGTGCTGATTTAGTTTATGGATTTCGTCCGCTAAGTGAAGCTTATAAACTAACCGATGTAAATACAACACCTGAGAGTAGTAGTAGTAGTTCACTGTTGAATTCATCACAGGCTACACCGATTGTTTTTCGTTCTGGAATTGTTGGTAAGCAAATCGGTGGGAATGTGTATTTTTTACCCAAGGAAATAGTTGTTTTTTTTTAATGTAATACAGTTAGTTGACTCCGAAATAGTTGCTTTTATCACACACACACACACACACACTAACTAACAGTGGCCACAAAACTATTGGGAAACTAGAAGTGACAATGCATAGCAACTGTTTTTTCTTTTTCCTCTTTGATTCCTTATCAGAATGCTCAATGGTAGGTAAGATATTCATTGCAAGACTTCACGCTACAGAGTGCATGAATGTATATTGTCTTTTCTTTTACTTAACTCTAATCTGACGTGATACATCTATGAAGGTAAACTAGCGGTCAAAAGACAGGATGTCTGACTGATTGACTGGTTTCAAGATAGAGGTTTGCACAGATGTACTGCAGTTGGATTTAGATCCCCCCCTCCACACACACACACCTCAATTTAACACACAATGGAAGACAAAAGAGGGAAAAACGAGATGCGGAAAGACGATGATAATCAGGAATATGAGAAGGAAAGAATGGTAACATGTTAGATGACAAAAACTGAATACATCTCCGCCACCACTAACAAAGATTTTAAGCCATATCACTAATTGTCTGCAGTCATTGGTTCTTAGAATTCTGAAGACCCCAACCAGACAGTCTACAGCTACCTACGTGGCTAACTGTCAAAGATTTCATGAATTGGTTTGTCCATCACTAACTCTTTTCCAACCTTATCATATGTCAGGTAACATTGCTCGTCAAGGAAGACGATGGCTGCTAGGCTTGGGCAAAACATGACATACATTCTGTCGTATGCAATCTACGTGGACAACTATTAAAAGACACGATATATATTCTTTCATATCAATGCATATAGACAATTATGGACATAAATTTGATTGGGATAAAGTCGAAATCTTAGACAGAGGAAACACCAAAAGTGCAGTCAGGGAATTCCTAGAAGCCTGGTACTCAAACGAAAATGCAATTAACAAACACGTTAACATACATATAGACGAAATATACCAACTAATAAAAAGTAAATCATGTGACGAAAAAGTTTAAAATCCAAGTCAACAGAAAATGGTCAATATATATGTAAAGATGGTTACCAGGAGACGCAATTATATCACTCATGAAGAAATTTAAATCATTTCACTTTATGCTAAATATTGCGCTGAAAGGGGATGTTGTCCAGAAGGGCAACGAAAGCTCCGCAACTAAAACCAACCAGCTCAGAGAACACTATTAATTGCAAAACTATTGACATCATTTCAAATGGGGTAATATAAAAATCTTAGGTAGAGAAAACATGAAAAATGGTAGAAAATTCTTGGAAGCCGTATGAATAGTCAAATCAATTCAGATATGTGGAGACATGTTAAACCTGTCACTCAATAAAGAATAAGTCGCACGTTCCAAAAGTCACATATCATGGGTCAGTGAAACGGCTAATACCAATAATACGGGCTAAGACAATCCTAAGAGAAAGTCTCCATAGTCAACTATTCACAGTCAACGTTACCATGAAAGATGGATATTTCACTCATTGAAGAGGATTCCACAATGTCATTTCACACTAAAGTTAGAACTAAAGATGTTATTTAGTTGGAAAATAAATGCGTTGGTCTAGAGGTCGATCCCCGTTCAACTGACGAGCTCCTTAACCTTACTGCCTAGTCGGTCTTAAGTCTGGCAAAAAGGGAAAGTTGGGCATGAAGTTAGCATCCCTACTCCACCCAAATAAACACCCCTGCTATTAAAACTTCAAAGCTGTCCCACTTAAGACGTAAAGGATTAAAATATAAAATAAATAATATAGAAGATTCTCGATGAAGTCTTCAGAATTGAACTATTCAGCTGAGAAAATAGAAAATTAAATGTAGTCTTACTAGATATCACTCATTCGGTTCTGTTCCGTAGACACTTGTAGGCGACTACATGTATGTACGTATTTACGTACAGTGGGGTATCTACTAGTGTGGTCATCAGATTCATAGATGTCTCCAGATCATTGATAACTAAATATGGGGATTTTCAGTAAACACAGTTGATGCTTATGTTTGTTTTAGTTGATTATAGAACATAGTGTGACTTCTAAGTAGGAGGATGCAGTTAATATCATACTGCTGATGTAAGTTCCCTACTGATTGAAGCTCATTCAGCTTGTTAACATTCACTCCTTACGTTCTGGTTGGAACTGCAGTGTCATTGGCGTTGTGTTTAAGGAGGGGAGTTGCTAGCTTCACGCCTAACCTTTCCTCTTTCACCAGCTTATTGTCGGCTAGTAAATTTGGCCAGGTTTAGGAGTTTATCCGTCACCAGCCGGGAATAGAACCTGGGCAATGTGCAGTCGGTGGCGAGTAATCTACAGACGCTAAAATGTCCATTCATAATCTTTAAAATAAAACTAACATTCTTGTATTGAGAAGAATATTAACCATTTGATTTTTTTTTAAAACATTTTTATTTCAGGTTGTTTCCGTGATATCACTGTGAACAGTATTAAACCGCCTTATCAAGTTAATCTTGTCCCTGAACAGGCTAAATCTGTTCTTGGCTTATCCTCAAATCCTTTCCTAATGATTGTACGAACACAAAAGTTGGAGTATGGTTGCCAGCCTATAGCTACAATCTCTGGATCTTGTGCATCTGGTCCATGTTTACATGGTGGAACTTGTGTAACTGGTACAAAACAATCACTTGGTGGGGGTGGTGCTGGCGGTGGTAGCGGAAGTGGTACATCAGCCTATGCATGTGACTGCCCTTCATTATTTCATGGAAGACATTGTGAAAGGACAAGTGATGCTTGTTTACTTGCTCCGTGCTACAATGGTGGAACGTAAGTAGTAGTATACTTTTGGAAGATATTTTTGTTCGATAAAGAAAGGAAGATGAAATTTGCAGTATAAAATGATATCATCATTCTATTTCACAGGTTCTCAGCAGCTGCAGACCACTACCTGAAATTACGATGGTTATATAGATGATGATAATAACAAACTTTAATGTCTAAGTGGTAGTAGAGAATAAATACTATATAAAACAGAAGAAAATGACAAACAGTGTTAGCTTGTTGGTTAAAATTTTTTTTCCTTCACGTTCTCCAGTGGAACATAGGGCTTCAAACTAGTAGCTTGAAGTTTCTGTAGCAGTGTTTATTTTACAGGATGGGGTTACTAGCCTCATACTAAACCTTCCCTCTTTACCAGCATTATTTCTTGCTTAGCGAGGTGAAGGAGTGCGTCGGCCGGGAATGGAACCTTGGACCATGTGCATGGTCGGTGAGCGTCCTAACTGCTATGCCACCGACGCACTGTAGGTTAAAATAGCAACTCGAAAAAAGAGTGAGTTACAGTTTATAAGATTGATATTTATTCACTGAGTTGAGATCACTGAATTAGATGACTAACTATTCATGTAATCAAAATCAAAATTCAGTTACCAAAGGAGTGAGAGGTTAATCACCCTCTCCTTCTGCATGCATAAGTCTAATTTAAACCGTTTGATTGCGATCGCTTCGCCAAATCGTAGTAAATTTGTTGTCCTTTGTCTATTTAATATTTTGAAGGACTTAGAAATCTCTGCGAGATATCCGGTATCAACAGTATGTCTGATAATTGCGCTCTGAGAATATTTGCTTCCTTTTAGGCACAGGTCTCTTGGAATATGTTCAGAAAACGGGATAGAAGCCCTTTTTTTCCGTCCTTTCAATGTAATTTCTCCCGCAAGTGCACGTAAAATCATAAACGCAGTTGGAGGTGACATCAGCAGGGTGTTTATCCAGTTTCGAGTGGCTTATAGAAGAAGTGGTGCTGTATAATGTTATGAGTTTAGCTGCAGGGAAGCTTCTTTTTATTGGACCCTTCAGTCTTTTGTCAATCTTTTGTGACACTGCATCTCCTTTGAATGGGAGAAAAATAAACACTTTCTTCTCTTCTACAGTGGGGGTGTCTTGTGTTCACTGCAATATAGTTTTAGCATAGAAGTTTGCACAGAAATACACCAGTTCAACTTGTCACATTCTGTGTATCACACAAAGGTAAAGAAAGTAGAGAAGACAATTGTAAAGAACTATTATGACAAGAAATGCACGGGAGAAAGAAAGAATAGTAACATGGGAACACATGAAAGCTTAGTGGAAGCAGGAGATTACAAAGAGTGAATGTATCTCTGGCATTGAGAATGATTTTGAGCCATATCATTAACAGTCTCTAGTCATTGACTGACAAAGGGTTCTGACGTTATAAATACTTTCTTTATTCCTTCACGTTCCCAGTGGAACATAAGGCTTCAAGGTAGAGGTCCGAAGTTTCGGTAGTTCTGGTGTCTATTTTTTTTGGGATGGGGTTGCTAGCCTCATGCGCAACTTTCCTTCTTTACCAGTTTTATTACTGGCTTAGCGAGGTGTGGCAGTGAGTTGGCCGGGGATCGAACCCCGGACCACATGTGTGGTTGGCGAACATTCTACCGCTGTGTCACTGACGCGACGTTATAAATATGTCTCTAAGCCCTTGTAATCGATATTCGTACCTTCAAACTTTAATAGCAAGTGAAAAAGTATTATCTCCTTCGTTACTATGTGGAATTAAATAAGTAATAATTGTATCCATGTAGACTAATCTATATAAGTGCGATTGTACAGCTTTTGAGAATGAAATCGCCGAAAAGATCACCATCTTTGCTGAACTTCTTGTTCTTTTCCCTCTAATGTCCCGATGCGTATTTTCCACGAGTTATAAATACTGCTGCAATTATAAGTTGATAACGTGGTTTTCTCTATCTCACCGCTATTAGTGGCCTCTGGGTGGAATAGTATTAACAGAAGGCCGAAAGCAAGACGATGAAATCGATAGAGGTGAAGTGGGTGGTGATAATGCGGAAAGCTTTATGTGGACAGTGGTGGTTCATTTCTTCCTTGGGGTACCTGAAACAGAAGGAGTATTAGTGTTACATGATCGCATAGCCTAAAGACGATGGCTATTTGAAGCCAGTCATGTCATGTTTGAAGTGAATTTTGAATTTGCGTCCCTGTTAAGATCTTAATGCCGGCTAAGGGTTTTCCGCATTGTAAGTTAGAATGTACGAATTTCGGGGTTGACCTTTTTTACCTCACCCCTCACATATCCAGAGTGGAGAGGCAGAGTAGCTTGCTTACTGTGTGACCATCTGAGGAGAACACCTTACTGCTGTTACATTTCGGTATTTGCCAGGAGTACGATTTTGCCCACTTACCCACAACATAATGATGGGTTGGATGAAAAACATCGGTTCTCAATATGTTTTGTACAGAAATGGGATCTTTATATTATTTCATTTTTACTAATATTTGACTGTTAGTCAGTAAGGTCGTCGACAGTTTTCATTCTAGTTTCGTTCTGTTTTTGCTCTTATTTATCATTTCACTCTAGTTGTCAAACTTTAATAACATCGAGTGTATCCAAAGCACCGTCTCATTCTGGTCTGGCTGCTTATCGGTGTATTTGTCCAGCTGGTCTGTCAGGTTTACACTGTGAAATTGTTCATCCTGAAATTATATCGCAGACTTCTTCTTTTTCCTCGTCATCATCACCACCATCATCATCGTCGTCGTCGTCGTTGTCGTCGAGTCAGTTAACAGATAAACGTGATTCAACAATGAAAACTAATGTCGCCTGTCATACTGCACAGTTAATACTTCAACAACAACACCAACATCAACAACAGCAACAACAAAATATGCTGAATAAAATGCAACATACTACTGCTAATTCAAATTACCGTTATGCCTTCGCCTTGCCTTCATCATCGAATATAAATCATGATTCTAAAAAATTGATGGTTTGTCTTCATGGTGGTTCATGTCAAGATTCACCGAGTGGTCCTCAATGTGTTTGTCCTGCTGGTTGGCAAGGTGCACGTTGTGAGCATGATGTTGATGAATGTCGTGTAGTGAAAAGTGTTTATTCAAGTCAGCTGCATGAATCAACAACTCCATATATGAAATGGTTAGAAAATCGTGCCAGTCCCAATGGTGGTTTGTGCAGTCCATATAGCCCTGGAAGAGGTGTATGCTTTAATACACCTGGCTCATATAAATGTAACTGTTCGATTGGCTTCTCTGGTCAACATTGTCAGTCGAAGGTATGTCTAACTTTCAGATTTCTTTTTTTCACTAATTATTTCATATGAAACTATATGCTAATTGTTTAGGTGAACAGGCTGTTTGTCCTCACTTATTCGCTGTAATGAAATGTACTCATATCACTGTAATATGTAAAAGTTTTTCGTCTTATGTGTTTTGAAGCTTTGTGAAGACAATTAATTGTTCTCAAGTTGGATGACGAACTGTGATATCGGTTAGAGAACCATTGAAAACCAGGAGGGTTTATCAAGTTGAGTGTAAGGATAAATACTCTTCCCGATGACTGACACTGACTGGCAATTGTGCTGTGTGTATCACAATCGGCAGAAGTTGGAACTCATGGGTAAGCCATTGAGTTTTATCTCATTGTCTGAACGACCTATGAGCTCGCCTCGTAACCTGAAGGTTTTGAGCTTCATCTGGTCTTCCATGGAATAACTGGTACATACCCCTGAAGAGTCCCAGACAAGGACGAAACAGCTATCCATTACTGGTTTCAGTTAGAGATCTGACTTGAAGTTGGTTAAATCTCTGCAAATTAACACTTAGGAATTAATTGTATAGAAATCTTTACGTAATCAAAGTGACTGTTTGCATGAACTTAAGTTTTTAGACGGTAATTTTGTATGTGCGGGAATCCAAATGTTTGATATGTGGGTCTTGTATAAAGGTCTAAATAGGGTATAAGTATATAGAAAACCGCATCAGTCAACTATGAGAATCGGTAATTGTATAACGATCAATAAATATCATATATTTTACACCTATTTCACGCCTTACTTGAAGACTTCTGATGTACCCGCAAGTTTTGTCGTCTATACATCAGTTGACAGTTGAAAGACTCAGTGCTCGTTACCTTGAGCTGTGATCAGACTAAAGATGAATATTGATTGCTAAACTAAATTTTGCATCAATCTTCGTACTTTTAATAAATATCTCTCTATGCTTCTCTTTTTTTATTATAGAATCTAGTCCCATTGATTCCTGATACCAATCCCCTTGGTCTGAGTCAATTCCATATATACATCATTGTGGGCCTTCTAGCATTTCTCTTCTTAACTGCCTTAGCTACAATTGTATTATTGGCCTGCCGAGCTCGTGGAATGTTTGGTGGAACATTGGATGGTAGTCGACGATCTGTAAAATCTGCAGGTTCCTACTGGCCTAATGGTAATCATCAACAAACAAAACCTATAGGTCGATCTTCAGATCCTCGTCTAAATCGTCTGAATTATTCTGCTGGTGGAAGTTTATCCGGTGTTCCGTTTATAGCTGGGGCTAGTCCAGCACATCCAGGTGGTCATGCTAGTCATATTGGTACACATCCTAGATATATGTTGTCTGCTGGACATCGTCGTCCTTCGTTAGCTTCATCAGCGTTTGGTTTTCCAGTTGCTATGGATGATAGTGCTACTGCCCTGTTGAATAGTAACTCAGGACATATGCCATTTTCTTCAGAGAGTGTTAAACTTGGCGGAAATTGTAATGCAGCTGCGACATTGGGGGATTACAGTGAGCATGATGATTCTGTTGCTACTTGCAATTCTGGTGTATTACTTTACCCCACAGCTGTTGGTGATCATCAAATGCCAGTGATGATGATGCTTTCACCCCTTCCTGGAACGCATGGATCAGTCGGTCCTGGTAGTCGGGCCAGTGTAATTGCACGCTATTCACCTGCGTCTTCAGTTATTTTCTATGGTCCAGGTGTACCGTCAGGTTCTGTAACACCTACTAATCAAATTCATTCGCCTCAACCTGGTTTTGGTGTTGACCCATCTGGTTCTGGTTATATTCCACAGCGTCAATGCTTCACAGGCTCTCAGGTAGCTCTATATCCAACAGGACATCCTGCTTTCTTACCTCATCCTCAGTCTCAACAACACCACCAGCAACAACAACAACTTATTCAAATGGTAAACATGCGTCCAAATTCTGTAGTAGGCTCTGATCGTCTATCTCTTGGTTCAGGTAGTGATCGTTTCTCTGCGCATAGCAGTCAGGTTCTAGTACAACCCAACAGTACCTGTGCTATACCCTATCCATGTTGTCCGCAATCTCAAGCTGTAACACCCCAGCTATACTATCATCAGTCATCGGCGGCAGCAGCAGCAGCAGCTCAACATCATCGATCTTGGACTCCTAACATGTCAAGTAATGGACATGCACAGCCTAATTTCCTTATAATGAATCAAAACCATGATGAGGCTAATTTAGAAGAAGCATGTATGACACTGAGACCACAAAATACCGATTCTACCAAGACTAATGATGCCAACAAATCTCAGGCAAATTGTGATGACACACCTGCAGCAGCATCATCTGATGATCAACCAGTTACTACGCACAATAGCAATAATAATAATAATAACAACAACAACAGTGAGACAGTTAAACCTCGACCAGTTCCAGTTAATCTTCAGCATACAACTAGTGCTTTTGTTTTAAAACAGCGGCAACACCCGATTAGACAACAAAATAATAATAACAATCATCATATTTCTCCTGGTAAGTAAAGTAATTGCCGCGCTTAATTTAGGCAATCAATCATACATATTTCATAATTCTCCATTTACTACTGAGAATGCCTTTTACTTCCTGATCTGTTGTCTAACTGTCTGTCTTTTTTTGTGTTTTTATTTCTAATTAAAGCTTTCAATACTTTGCATGCTATGTATCCATGTTGTTGTGCTCAACCATTAGTATTACCTATCTCCTCATCAAATGCATGTTGTAAACCAACTCTGTCGCATAATAATAATAATAATACTATTTTTCCAATGGTTAATCCATTTGCCTATTCATCGCCAAGATGTGCGTTGAACAGTTTTCTTCATCCTCGTGTACGTCAACCAATACTTGTTGTTCACAATCCCTCTGCTGCATACCCACCATTCACTTATTCTTATCCATCAATTCATTTACAATCCATGCCAATTCCTGAAGATGATGCATTACTACTGAATAAATCAAGCGTTCAAAACTCAGAATCTTTATTTCATCTACCAGACTCTTGTCCTACACTACACGACGATACCTATAATCCAAGTGAACTATCAGCGTCTTATTGGCCTTCAGTACAAAATATTTCCCTACCAATAAGAGATTCCCTCGGTGGATTACATCAATCATCGTTTGCTGCAGCTACTTCTGGTTTGAAAAGACAATCAATGTTGGCTGCCGCCACCACCACTAGTTCATCATCATCATCACGTGGAATAATTCATCAGCATCATCGACCTCCAGTTGATGATAAAGCATTTCGTCGAACACTTCAACCTCGTGAAATTTTAAAGGCTAATGTAAGGTTGGGCGGCGGTCTACCGCCTGTTACAGTCTCTCGACCGCATTCAGCGCATTTATTAGGCTTAAAGATTACAACAAGCAAATTGACCAATGTTAATGGGAATACTTCAAATAATTCTAAACATTCAGGTTTGTTAACAATTTTGAATTTGAGTTCCATTGTTGCTGTGCTAGCTGAAGATTGTTGTTGTTGTTGTTGTTTCTGTGTGTGCGCACTTGTGTGCTTAAATGTGTTACCGGTTGCATGTGTGATGCATGTTATATAAATCTGTTTTACACACACCAGGTTTTCCTTCTTATTTTGGCATTTTACTCTATCGTGTATTTAATAGATTGTTTTTTTTCTCTTTTTAAGATGCTCAACCGAATTGTAAAGTTCGAAACAGTATTGTAGGCGAGGCTAATGGCGGCTGTGTGAATGTGACATGGCTTGTTAATGACAACAATTCATCTCTCAATCATATACAGAATAATAATAATAATAATAGTACTACAAAGGATGCATCGAATGTTGTACCGTCATCAACTACTGGCAAGTCTAACACTACACAAAACACTACAAATACTACAAATGGTAATAATAATAATAACAATCATAACAATAATGTCGCTACTCAAAATCGAATATCGAATAATAAATTAGATTGGTTTGGAAATGATAATTCAAATTATCATCCACTTTTACAAAATAATAATATTAATAATAATACTTCCAATTCATATGAATTAATAAATGGAAATCATAAAGACTTTCAGGTAATTACTTTAAGATTATGTGTGAGTATACTTGAGAATTTCGAGATATATATAAAAATGAGTCTTAGTCTTATACTTTGACTTAGGATTTTCTAAGTATCTTCTATGACTTTTCATTTTTTTTTTAGGATTTGAATGAATTTAAATTGTTAGATATCCTCACAAAAACAGTACACCATTTAGAGAGAGGGAGAGCGACAGAGAGAAATTATTGAAAATCAATAGGGAGTACTGGACAGCTGTTTCGTCCTATTTTGAGGCTCATCAGAAGTGCGACCTCACTGCTAGGGACACCGAACCTTGGACCTTCAGGTTATGAAACCAAGCTCGTTCGTTAACCATTCACTCACTTTGGCTAGGATTTTAACTTTCTCAGTTCGTGATATAGTGTTGTCCTCACAAGTGTCTTTGATGAGCATTTACCTCGCCTTTGCATGTTGTATCACCTAGCGGTTATGATCTCATCTTAAAATATATATGTTCGAGGGATCATACTGCTGCCGAGTTAGACACATCTTCATCAAATCATCTTGTAAGTCAATCAAGTACTGATTGAATAACACAGAGTAATGTTTATCTATTAGATAGTTGGAGGCAATCGGCCACAGGAAGCCCAGCCTGACCTAAGTTTCGTGCTAGTTAGCACTCGCCAGTCAGCAAGGCCCATCTGCAACTAGCTTGAAGGAACTCATATCCCTTCTGAGATTCGAACTCGTGTCACCCAGTCGGAGACGTTACTACTGTGCTATTTGGGCTCACGATTGACCTCCTGTAGGACTGTATCGGATATTTTGACTGGACACTAGTTATTAGTATCATGTGTCTGGTTCTTTCTTTGGTGCAAATTGAATTCTATCAGTCAGGTTTGCAGTGTGGACACTATTCTAGGTAGCTTGCCATCATGGTGCACAATTATTTCATCTCAGAAGGGACATGAGTTCCTTCAAGGTTGCTGACACGACTCCAAACTAGCACGAAACCGAGATGTCCAAGGCTTCCTGTGGCCGATCGCCTCCAACCATCTATTATCATAAATGGTAGTTAAGAAACGAAACGTAAATGCATAAAAATATTCACTACAGATTGATTGAGATGATTAGTAGCTGTGTAATCTCCTTTAACTTGTAAACTGCGAACTAATTTGCAAATTATGAATTTCACTTAAGGATGTCACCATTTCGGGTATTTTGAGTTGATTCAAACCAGGTAACACCACGACCAGAACAAGCTGGATTTAGGAAAGGCAAATCATGTTCCAACTATATTGCAGCTCTACGCATCATCATCGAACAAAGCATGGAATGGCAATCAACCCTCCACCTCAACTTTATAGACTTCGAGAAGGCCTTTGACAGCGTTGATCGCGAAGTAATTTGGAAACTACTCGAGTACCACGGCGTACAGTGCCCCAAATATTCATCAACCTTATTCAGCAGTTGTATGACAAGGGCACATGTCAAGTGATCCACAACGGAAAACTTAGCGAGGCATTTGGAGTAAACACAGGAGTCAGACAAGGGTGCTAATTATCACCAGTGATATTCCTAATTGTGGTGGACTGACTGGATTATGCGTCAGACAGCGGGAAACGAGAGGACAGGGATATCCTGGACCGACCGAAGTTAAGAACCTAGAAGATCTGGATTTCGCGTTTGGATGATTTATATTTGATGTCACACAAAATCGAAGACTTACAAGCGAGCGAAAATCGACAAACTGGTCGAAGAAGCAGCCGGCGAAGACAGGACTTCAGGTGAACATAGACAAGACGGAGGTTATGAAAATAGCCAACCAACAACAACAGCAATAACATCCTGCGTCAATCACCATCATCGGAGGGATTTGAAAGAGGTCACTCCATTCACTTATCTAGCATTGAGCATTGTCTCAAATACAGGAGGAACGGACGAGGATGTCAAATCGAGCGAGAATCGGGAATGCGAGCGAGAAACACATTCATCAACCTGAAATCAATCTGGAAATCTTCGTCACTCAGCCAGCGTCAACAACAAAATTTGGTCGGATTTTCAATACAAACGTCAAATCAGTCAGTTCTTCTATACGGATGATAAACTTGGCGGGCGGGTCACAAAGAATATTTCCAACGGCCTGTTGCAGACCTTCATCAACCAACAACTGTCTTCGCTGGATCTATACTGAAGATCAGATGGCCAGGGGGCCGGAAAGAATCACCAACAACAAACTATGGGAACAAACAAAACAAGAACAAAACCAATCGCCAACCAACAAATATGCAGCAGGAGAAAGTGGAGATGGATTAGACACTCGCTCGCTGAGGAGGCCTCTGGGTGACATTACGCGCGCGTCAGGCCATTGCTCGAGTGGAACCAGGCTGAAAGGGAAGCACGCGGCGAGTGGGACTTCAGTGCAAGGGTGGGTGACGTGGAGGAGATCGTGTGAAGAGGAGTATGGACCAACAGTATGGACTAACATGGATGCAGGTGAAAGGTACATCAGAAGGAAGACAGAAGCAGGTGGAGACGTGCAGTTGAAGCCCTATGTTCCACTAGGAACCCAAGGGAACAATAATAATCATAATAATAACACCACTGATGAGCTTGACTGCGAACGAGCGAAACAGACGTCCGATGTTTAGATGACTTACTTCTGGTTGGCTAACACTACTGATTGATATAAGTAGTATCCAATTGTTTTCTAATCCAATCCCACTTCAGCCATCATTACTTGTCGGAGAAAGTCGTAGATTGACATGCGTAACACGTGTGTGTGTCCTAGCCATTTCAATCGATGTAGCTTGACACCGTCATTGATTGACTCACCTAACCTTACCTAACACTACGCCTAACCACATTTTTACGCACTGCTTAACACAGGAGATATATCGGAAACATCCATGGTCAAAGACAAGCTAATTTTTTTTAACTGTCTTCCACTTTCAATGACCATATCTCACAGTCATAAAGAATGACTCAGTGAAATGTAAAATTAAATAATAAACTTTGGATAGATGTCACTGTTTTTATTTATTATTATTTTCGTAATACTCATTTGTGTATCGTTTTCGTTTCAGAATGTTTCATCAGAGATGGGAACACCAACAACAACAACGCCAGTAGTAGCAGTCGCACAAAAAACGCCAGCACCGTTGACAAATGGACTGTCAACAGCGGCAACAACAACAGCGACACCAACTCCACATGTTAAACAATTACCTTCTTCTGTAAATAATTCCTGTCATCATGATAGTAAAAGCATTTCAAGCATAGATGATTTATGATGCGATTTGGAAGAGAATGTGGGGGTAGAGATGCTGAGGGTTGGGTGGGGGATGTCGTCGTCTTCCCACCCCACCCCCACGTTCTTTCCACTTCATTGATGTTTTTCTATTTGGTGGTAGTAAGTAGTCTTTTATCGCATATCATGATGTGTGATATATCACGAACCGATCAATCAATCGATCACTCAGTCAGTCAATCAGTCAATGAATAGTTATCGTTATTATCTTCTCAAATCTCACTTGAAACATTTTTATCCCATTTCTGCACAAATAATGATCATGCCTTGTGGGATATTTCTATTGGTTTCTATCTCTCTCTCACACACACACTCTCTCTTTATCTATCTTCATATTCCCTCTTGATATTATAATTATGTGTAATATTGTATAAAAACATATATATATGCAAATTAGATTTGTGTAGAAAAGCAGCAGCTGCGACAGCGACATTAGGCTTTTTGTGATGATTATAAAGTTAAATACCACTCTACTACATACTGTTGTGATGAAGAATAGCGAATGATCTCCAGTTTTACTGTATTAAAATTAGTACTGGTAGGCAGGCAGACATACAGGCGCGCACAGGTCTAATTTCTCAAGAGAAAAGACAATAGAAGAGATTGCGACGATTAATCATCTCTCCTCCGCTGTCGCCACCCAGCCACCCACCCACCCATCTGCCGGCTTTTTTTCCCAGTCCTATATAAATAAAATCTACCTCGTCTACATATACATATATAAAGTGTGTAGACTGTTCAATCCCCTCTTTCTTTCTTCAGCTCTCATCTATCTATCTCTGCTCTTATCTCCATTTATGTGTGTTGTTCATATTATATATATGTGTATCTAAAGTGAGCTACTTATTACATAACCAACTTAACTGTCTATATTATCACATTAAGAGCTTGTTTTTACCAAATACTTTCCTGTTTCGCTCTCCCTCTATCTCTCCCGCCTCCCTCTCTACAGGGATGACTTATTCTTTCTTTTATGAAGATCTCAGACACACACATACACATAGGCCAAAAAATTAGCACGCCTCTCTGACATGCCTAACTTTCATCAATTGTCTCATATTATTATTATTATTACCATTACAAAAACCAATGTTATGATTAATTATCCTTTAGGCTTTCCGTATTTACTTATATATATATATATATATATATATATATATATATCTGCAGAAAAAATGTTTTGTAATAATCAACTGTGTATAATCAGTGTGAGTAGCACTCAGTTTCTACTGATATGATTAATAACTTTTATTACTAAATAACTATTATTACTATTATTAATTAATTAATTAATATTATTTATTTGCTGACAATCATGAATGCACAACCGGTTTCTGTGGATCCATTGTATTCTAAAGTCTTCATGTTACTTTTTATTTTATTTATTTTATTTTTCCCGCTGGAGTGAAACCTACTTTTCTCTGGGGTTTCTTTGTATTCTTTGAATAAAAGATTCTGTTTTACTGAAGCTCATTCATATTTTGAGCAAATATAAACTGTGTATACATATTCAGTTTATATATATATATATATATATATATATATATCTTGCTACGATAGATTGCTTCTTTGAAACAATCCTCCCCGTAACCGTCCCCCCCCGCTCCCTGTGTCTTATCTTTTCTTAAAAACAAGTTTATGTTTCCATTAACGAAAAAAAAAGCCGACAACAACGAAAAGTGTTCATTTGTGTATTTATTGTTTCTACTTACATATATTTATAATAATTGTCATTTTCTTTTCAACCATTAATCTTTGTCTGTTCTTCTCTCTCTCTCTGTGTGTGTGTGTTTGTGCGTCTTTTCCTCTCGTGATAAACGCTTAGTAACACACAACACAACACTGTGTGTAATTTATAAAATGTGTAATTATATGTATGGTATTGTTTTGATGAACTGAAAGCCTCTTCTTCTTCTTGTCCACAATCATTTCTATGTTTCAGATGCCCTCACACACACATATGCATATATATATATATATATATATATATATATATATATATCAATCAGAATAGGTATTATTACTATTATAAAAATTATTAATATTATCAATAAATATTATTACTATTGATGTATAATAGTGTTTTTTTTTCTTTGTTTCTCCGCCCTCCTCTATGTGATCTTACGTTTCTTGCAAGTGTACTGAATGCGTTGAATGGTGATTGGCAATTGAATCCACTCGGAGATGTGTACATTTCCGCCTATTTGGAACTTATCAGTTGGGTGTGTGTGTGTGTGTGTACTTACATTCCTTGTAATGAGTGATGTTCGAGTCTCAGTGGGGTCAATACCACTCACTTAGAATGCAGGTGCATCCATCCAGTTGATATGTTTCAAATAGGACAACAGAAATGCCCATCCTAGATTGTACTGTTAATCATCACCATCCACTAAAAAATAATGACATGTTATTCCACAGAAATCGTCGAAACGATCTTACTAGGAGTAAGTCAACATGTCCACATAAGCCAAACATTTCTGTCCAGTATAATCGATTAATAAGGGAAATCAAAATTGGATGAAAAACAACGGATGTATTGTTTACAGTGCTGAAGAGTAGATCTACCAGGTCGACTGGTAAATTAGGACAGGGATCGAGGGTGAAGCTTAACATCAACTAACTTTTAAACGACTTCAACTGTTGTATTCTTTTTTTTCGCAGTGCATTTGTTTGTAAAACTATTGATTAAAGCGTTGTAGGCATAATTCGCTATATGGTGTTAGTCTTTGTAAAATTCTTATAATTTTAAAACAAATAGGCGTTCAGCGAAGGAGTTACCCATTTCATTCACATATATATATGTACGGTGAATTTTCTCAGTAACAAAAAGAATGTTTCTAAAGACATGTCATTAGAATTATAAGTGTTTTAAGGTAATAATTATATAATACAGAAAGTGATAGTTGGGTAGAAAGGGAAATAAAATTAAAAAAGTAAATCTAATGACATTGTAACAACAGAAGACAAGGGGGAGGCAACAGATTATTTTTTTGAGAAAATCAACAGATATTTATAGTATTGGTTTTTTTCTTTGTACATTGTTGTCAGCGGAGAAGCAACGTCTTCTGATTGGTTGTTTTCCTGCTGAAGGTTAATCCACACTGCTTGTGACTGTTTCTTAGAAAGTTAAGGCATATATCTGCGAATCGTATTTGCACACGTTAAGGCTGCTGTGATTGGTTGGTGAGTTCGTCAAATTTAAGCTTTGTTATTGTTTTCCTCATGACCTCAATTCGGGACGTAACATTGACGTAAATTGGGGTCTACAATTTTCGGCTTGCATCCAGCTCTCATCACAACATAATATAATTGACGGGGACTGAACAGAACTCAGCTAAAATTGAACCAGTATCAAGTTAAGAATATTGATAATAAAGGATTGAAGTGTAATAGGAGGTAAAAAAAAATATTATTACTACTACCGCTGATAATAATAACAATAATAGGTAAGGATGATGGTCGTACTACTATCGCGAAATGGTAGGAGTTGGGATTCATGGGCCATTGAGTCGGGTCCCAGTGGCTAAATGGTCTACCAGTTTGCCTTGTAACCGAAAGGTCCTGAGTTCGTATGTTGGCAGTGGATGTGTACTACTGAAGAGTCACATCCTAGAACCAAAATGCTGTTCACCTCTACTCCCTGGTTCCCAATAGTTCTCAAAAAACTGGCATCAATCCGTGATCAAACCTGAAACAAATCGAATCCCTACAAACTAACTCCTGAGAATAATATAGTTAAAAAACAAAAATAAATTACCTATCCGGTGTCATAATATAATTAATCCTAGAAGATTTATGATGCACTTTAGAACTTATGTTTACGCTGTACTGTAATGAGTTCCAAATAAGAAGGGATGCCCTTCATGAGTTCCACTGTTGGTCTCTATCAACTAAATAACTTCATTCTAACCTTAGGGTATCTATCATAAAACTGTATATCCTTACTAGGGGACGAAATGTCACCAGAGATCGATATTTCCAGTCCATTCAGAACAGTCAACTGAAAATCCAAAAATAATAATCATAACATATAGGAACTCTAAAAATTTTCTGATAATTACATGTTCATTATATCGAAGGTAATTGAATGTGAAGACATTGTGGAGATATTTGTTAGAACATTCGAATTCTGACCAATAAGTTATGATTTCACTGCTCACGTTGTTCACTTCGATCATGAGAACTGTGTAGTAGCGTCGCATGTAATGTGAGTAGTATTCACTTATATCGATCAATAATTAGTAGTATATAACATCAAACGTGTATACTTGCTTTGCTGATCGTCCCATTTATAGTATCAAGTAGATCATATGTTGTAATCTGAATAATTTCCATTTCCAAAGGAAACTCTTGCCTCAGACTGTATAAATTTCAAATCGCGAATTTGATTCAATGTAATACCAGTTCACCTAATCAATTATTATTATTCCCTTGAGTTCTGAGTGGAACATGGGGCTTCCACAACACACCTCCATTTCGTCCTTTTTTCTGTCGTCCCCCTCAGTCTGGACCAAGGTTGTTCACAATCTCCTCCTCACAAGACCTCCTCCATGTCACCCTAGGAAGACCCACTCGTCACTTCCCATTTGGATTCCAATTGAAGGTCTCAAGTATGATGTCATTCAACGGTCTTCTGAACGTATGCCCGATCCAACTCCATCTTCTCCTACTTATTTGTTGAGCGATCAGCTCTTGCTTGTTGGTTTGTTCCCATAGTTTCTTGTTACTTATTCTTTCTGGCTGGTCATTTGATCTTCAGCATGGAGCCGGCAAAGACAACTATTGATGAAAGTCTGCAACAAGCTGTTGGAAATCCTTTTCGTGACTGACACGCAGTGCAAGATTCTGACCCGTATTGAAAAACTGACTGTTGGAAATCTGAACTTGTTACCCAGTTAGTTAGCCAGCCAGAATTTGACTGATTTGAACGGATTTGACAGTCTGATTGAGCTGAGTTTAATTCAGATTTACTGCTGATGAGCTTCACACCCATACAAACGGAAAGGGTGTCCGGTGTTTTTATTTGACTTCAATCGGGCTAGCTAGCAAGCACCACTGGTAGACGTGACTGATATCCAACTACTCATATTAATCAATCAGCAGTATAGAATAACTTTAGTAACAATTGTATTAGCTGTATCAAAGGCGTTAGTTTGAATCGATTTGGAAATGATTCATTTTTTTCCCTTATAGTCGTCTGCTTAGATTATTCAAATAATCTCATAGAAAATTCCTAGTGAGTAATATTATTCACTTTCGCACGTTTGTGTGCGTGTGTGTGTGTGTGTGCAGAATTAAGACTATTAGGGAAATAAATGGACAATCATGTTGTATTCATCGATGGATTTTGCTATTTTTAGAACCTGGCGCTATAACATATATAAGTCGAAACTTAATGGTATTGTAGCTGCAAATAATTCCCTAAAATTAACAATCCACGGCATTTTATTTATCAACATTGGGTATTGACCTTCACTATCTGTTAAGTCAACTTGTTAGACTGAAGGTACGCGGCCAAGTATTCATGTCATGCGGACAGCTGTGGTGTTACATTGAGGCTTTCATGCACGGACCCTATCTAGTTAAGCAATCATTATCGCCCTGTATTTCTGATCCGGATATATATCTCATATTTGGACAACCCAGTCAGAAGAAATGAACACCGTAGAGCATTTGTTCGACCACCGAGAAATCCGGTTGAACTGGAAAAACTTGAAAAATCATCAGCCAGCCATAGGTCTACACACTATAGAATCAGGCCACAAAATTGATTTTGACAATATTGAAATAAGATTATAGGTTTCCAGACTGTAGGTGTTACGAATTTCCTGGAATAATTTGAGCGCCGAGTCAGATTGATTCATTATCTGCTGAAGAAGCTGTGGCTTACGCGGCGAAACGTTCAGAAAAATCTTGTTTTGACTTTCTTAACACGCTGGGATTAATTTAAATAATTTATAATGAATATTGAAATAATCCAGAAAAAGCATTTCAGAAATCACAAAGAACGTCTAATATCAGAAGCCAGCACTTCATATCAAGTGGAATCCAAATTGTCTGAATAGGAATGATGGACTAAAACAGAATCTGACCCCCATGAAGTGACAAAATTGACACGAATGTGTTAAGCAAGTTCACTATGTAAACACACACTGATCAAATCCAACAATCTTGATTTTCTTATCTTTACCAATTGACCAACTTGACAACGAAAAATGCCCCCAAACTGACGAACGATGATCAAGTTAGTAAACTTTGTTTTGATATCATAACATATGTACTATTGTAACAAAAGAAGATAAGGGCCAGGAAACAGATTTTTTTATTTTTGATTACAGCTTGATTCCACACTGTATTTTTGGTACAAGTATGGAATTTTCAGCGTGGATATCGGTAGCCCAAATTTTGCAGGCCGACCATGGATATCAGGTGTGCGTCGGTAGGGGATCGAACCCCGGACCATGTGCATGGTTGGCGAGTGTCCTAACCACTGTGCCACCGACGCAGATCGTTTATTAAGGAAATCAACGCGTATTTAT